CACCCATCCCCCCCCCCTCCCGCCTACCATCTCGCCCAACTCGGTGGCATTCAAGACAAGCCACTGCCAGTCCCGCCATCACCAAAGTTTGCGGTATACTACGACGACGTCGGAGCGGCACCAGTGCGCCTGCTAGTACCATCAACTGATTACCCGGAAGACCCTCGCGCCTCTACCTGTCTGGCGTCAAAGGGCTTGCTAACGCGTTTTGTCTCACACCGCGTTGTCATAGTCGAGAATCATCAGCGTCCCCCGCCCTGGGCTTGGCCTCTCACCATCTCCGTCTCGCAGCCATGGCGCCTTCAGCGGACAAGAAGGCGCGTACGAGGGCAGACTATCCTTACATATTGGATTACCGGACACGATGGTAGGTTTTTTTGAGCGTCGCATCATGGGCGCCATGCATTTGATTGTACCCATTCCAAAGGATACATGGCATGGACGCATTCCATCCATTGACTTTGCACCCCCTCTGCTCCTATGGCTCAAACTTTCAGCCACTAGGTTTATCCAGTTATTCAACTATCTGCCGTGCCTGGTTCTCGCAAATATATAAAATCTCATAAAATGGCTTGCACAACCTCCATCGTTTCCGGACCCTCGGATAGACGTCGATGCACTCGGATGATGGGGGCTTCTTGGCATATGCTAACACCACTGCGCTTTTGTAGGAACGATAATGACATGTACGACCACATGAATAATTCTGTCTACAACTTCTTGTAAGCTTCCGCCACGCCGTCCAGGCAACGTTCCTCACGATGCCAGCAGTTCCGGCTCACAATGTTAGGTTCGACTCTGCCGCTAATGCGTACCTCATGGAGTATTGCGGCATTCATCCCCCGAACTCGCCGTACCACCCGCTTGTTGCCCACACGAGCACCAACTTCTACTCGTCCATTGCGTATCCCGCCGTGGCAGAGGTAGGTGTACGTGTGGCCAAGCTTGGCAACTCGAGCGTCACCTTTGAGCTAGCTGTATTTGAAAAGGGAGTCGAGGGGGTGAAGGCTGTCTGTGAGTTTGTACATGTATTTGTCGAAAGATCAACAGGTAGACCTTCAAAGACGGGAATGGCCCCGGGGCTGAGGAGGGGGCTTGAGAAGTTATACAATGGGCATGAGCAGTTAGGGTCAAAGAGTAAGCTGTGATGTTCTTGCATGATGAAGCAACATCAATTGTCCATGTCATGGAACCCCTTCATATGTAGCAACCTGTTTATATTGAATATTCGGAAACTACTGCCTAGTGTACACGCACGCTGCGTTGTAGACAGAGTGCATCAAGGCCCTTTCGAGTAGCAGTGCTTATCTTCGGAACTGAAGACAATCCCGTTCTCACGATGTGAAAGTGGGCAAGGCGTCGTGTATTGCACTCCCACTTGAATGTCTCCCGTGGCGGTCTATAAGGCGGTAGGTAGTCGCCGGCTCTCACGAGACTTTTCGTTAATCCGCAGCGCATTCCATTCAGAGGGCACTTCAAACTTTCCTACAAATTTTCGGAACGGATTGATGTCAACTAGACAACAAGCCGACATGTCACATGAGGGCCTCAGCAAACTCTCGCCACTGCAGCCCCTCAACCTATTCACGAAAGCCCATCGAGAACCCCCTTCGCAACCATCTAACCCCCAGGTCTACACTCGTCAGTCTGCTTCTGATGCCAGAGTGGGTTAAAGCTACCAAGTTTCCGAGGTAAGAAAACAAATTACTCCGTAGACGCCACGGAGATCCCTTCCCGGCCCGGCATAAATGACAAGTCGTTTGTGACAAGATTCACAGTGACAGTCTGTGGAACACGGCATACTTGACCGGGGTTTCTGGCAGTTCAGCCCCCCGTACTCCGTACTCCGTACCAAACTTGTCTATTTGCGACAAGATGATTTTACTTTTCGAACATGGTTAGGCGGTAGCGAATTCCTTGGGCAGCGGGACCAAGGACAAGCAAAAGAGGCAATATTTTGCCTTTACCCCGAGATCTAGGCCCTTGCGATACTGTGCGTGCAGATGGCTTGGAGCTGAAAATGCGACATGGGAAAGTGCTATTTCCGGTACAGGCAGGGAGTGTGAAACGACGCTGCCCTCGCGGTATAGTTGCCTTGGAGGAACATTGCCTTTCCGGCTCTTCAGTAGAGAAGGAAGCTGACGAAGACACACGAGGACGAAAACAGAAGGAAAGACGTTGGGCACGACGTCCCTAGGAGCATGTCGTGCCGTGTTAGTATCTTGTTCCAGAACTTGTGTTGACGTGGAAGATGGAAACGGCTTTGGTCAAACGGCCATGCCGCCGTGTATCCACGAGACATCCGCTCTGCCTAAAAAGACACTCGTATCGCCGGTTTTTGGGGCAAACTTCTGCCGTATTCCGCCTTGTCCGCGCAGATTGGGCAAAGAAAAGTGCTAGAGAAGCGCCAACGTATCGCAACGGGCGTTAGGTGATGACCAAAGCCAGGAGCAGTCGGCACGCCTTTTAAGAAATAGGAACCTTGTGGCGCACGACAGAGCGCATGTTTTCCTTTTGCGTCGTGTCGATTTACTGCATTGTCGTATTCCGCTGCGCAACCAATACACGAGCTCTCGATATGGCTGCTTTATTAAATTCAACTACCCCGAAGAACTCGTTTGGCACCGAGTTTATACTTTTCCGTGCGCAGAAATGGAAGTAAATGGTGTGAAACTTGCGTTCAGCTGGTATCCCTTCATGATACGACTAGTACCACTCCCAACTTCCACCAGCAAACACCAAATAGCTTCCCACATCACAACCCTCTCCTGTCATGAAGATTCTTCTTCTCCTAGGCGGCGTGACACCAGATGTGCCCATCCTATATTACAAGATGACCAATGACGTGGCGAGAACGCCCAAGTGCCCCGTTGCATCTTCGAGGCGCAGACTTGGAGGTCATGATTCAGCACGACCCAGCGGCGGGAAGTGGTCCGACTCAGCGGTATGACCGGGACGCCGTCGTCGCCCTGGCAAAGTCCAAGAGATGACATGGAGGTCGAGCGCGTCGCCGTCTGCGCCATCGTCGCAAGTGTCCAAAGCGCTGGAGAGGACGGGCAATGCCGGTGCTGCACATTGCCGCCATGCTGGCCAATATAAAAGCGCGATATATCCACACATCAGGGCCATAGCCAAGATGACAATTCCAGACGGCGAGGGGACCCAGATTTCTTCATCGGGAAGCTGCAGAGCCCCCAGCCATGGGTTTCAGGTCGTGCTGTCAGCCACCCCAGAAGACGTCGGCCTCGTCGACCGCCGAATCATGGACGAGGTCGCCAGACGGAGGCGACAAGGGCCATTGTGCTGGGCAACACGGATCTGGGGTTCGTCCTGTAGTCGACCGAGCACCCTTGATTGAGTCTGCATTGCCATGCCGTGACCGAATGGGCTCTATTCTAAGACGGTGAAAGCCTCAATCCGGACCGACTTAGGTTGGAGCTGGAAAGTAGCTGACATATCTTGAGGGGACAAAGGTTTCTGGCCTTGTCCTACACCTGCTAAATGTACATGATGAAAGACATAAAGGTGACAAAAAATACACGAGTCCCATATCGCATTCGTTTACCTCAGATATGCTAATTTACAATGAAGCCCAGACCTCCACCACGTCATTCAATTACACGCAGCATTGTGAAAATGCCATCCCAGCCTCGTTCCGTAATTTCACCGCAGCAAATATCGCATCTTTATAGAGACAGACCCGACGGCCTTCTTTCCGCAGCGTAGTGTCGTCGTTCGTAGGGAGTTCCCGAAGCTGGCAACTCTGCAACGGCGTCAAGGGCTCATCCAGCGTCCGCTGTGACGGATAGGACGACAGAGCGTAGGGCTCCGGAAACAGGTTCTGCAGTTGCGTGATGAGTGACGGGTTGATAGTGTTCGGGGGCTGTTGGTCTGACCGGTCCGTCGTGAAGTCGTCCTCCGTCGTCGCCCGCCGTCGCCTTGACCGCCGCGCGTATCGGATCGCCGAAGATGCCACCCCGGCGATGAGAAGAATCACCACTGTGACGATGATGTAGAAGAAGCCGCTGCTGAACTTGTTCGCGTCAAAATCCCTTACGGCGAAGGGCCTCGAGGCCATGTCATTCGTTCAGGTGTGCTTTCACCCGCAGGCCAGCGTGGGCGGCTTCAACAGTCGAGTTGTGATGCTTGTGTAAAATATGAGGTCGTTTTTCTTTTGGTACAAACAAAGCTTCTACATTCTGTGAGCTCCATGGCTGCCATGGTCCTTTCTTTTACAGACTGGCAACTTGGTGCTGATGTAGTCTGGCTACCGAATGCCATCCCCTTGTTGTTGACTCCGCATCTCCATCCCATCCCCTGTGGTGGTCAATACGAGATCCAGACAGGCTCCTGCACTAGTACTATGAGTCTTGCTAGTCTTATTTGCGCTGGCTATTTACGTCTTGCGGGTGGGATGTCGAGATGGGTTGGTCGCTTGGTGACAAACATTCCTCTTGGACGCTTCTTGGTTGCGGGAAGCGCTTGAACCCTCTTACATTGTAATATCGGCAATGAAGTTCCCCTATAATGCTATCAACGAAAGAAAACGTGTAGCAAAAAAAACTTCAATTCGTCTTGCTAACTCATTTGTTGTCTCCAAGGGTTGTGGCAACACATGCCATTGTCCATTCGGAGAGTGCCGTCTGGTGATTCTCGACAGAAGAAAAAAAACGTCCAATATGGCAGCCAATCACCATCTGCCATGTTCAAAGCGGCAAAAGTGGCAGTGCTTTTTCAACTGCGCGGTAGTAGCATTGGTTCCTGAATGCCAAGCAATCCTGAGAGGGGAATGAGCCCTTTTGAGGGCCGAAACAGGAAAACTCGCCCAAATAAGGACCGAGTTCCGAGAATAAGGCCAAGGTTGCGAAACATGAAACGAGCCTTTGCCGGCAGGCTATACATATAGTCCAATAACCTCCAACGGCATGAACAGACTGCATACTTGGTTGCTCGCTCCGCCTCAGTTGACGTACGACGAGATGGTCCAATGGCACGGCTCGACAGGAAAAACTTTTTACAGGTTTGCCGACTGGAAAATGATGTTTACATTTGGAGACGGCCAGGACGGTGCATACATTCTTGATTTGTACTGAATCCCGCAGGAAATAGTTGTGACGTTTCGTCTACGATTAGAAAAGTAGATGCAGATGACGAAAAGCAGTGGACATAGAGGTGTCATGGCTGCTGTTGTCGTCGTAGTTGCCGCTCAAGAAACTCTGAGCTCCTGACGAGGGATCACCATAGGCTTCCCGCAAGTATTATTACCATGACACGTATTAGGCTTTTGTAATCAAACCACATTTCTAGCGATTCAAGGTACCTTGATTTGCACATGATGCCGCTTGCCATCGTGGCTGTGCTTCCTGACATGGCCTTTCCCAGGCTCCCTTGAGTTTGAAAATGGGCTCAACACCACGAAAGACCCCGCTTATCGGATGCTGCGATACTGCAGGTGTTGCCGCTTCCTGGTCCTTGCCCTTATTTGCACGCGAAGCGGCTCCTTGCACCGGCATCGGGTACCGAGGCACTAGAAGGGCAGGTAAACGAGTCCATCAAGTTGATGCCAGGAATAGTAGCAAAGATGGCGGATACAACGCCAAGACAACTCAGAAAAGAAGAAAGACCTGCCGCTAAATCGGCTTGGGCACCCAGAGAGTCTGAAGCCCAACTTTGTTTGAGTCGCTGTAGCACACTGCGGCGGGTTGCCGAGTAGCCTTTTCACAAAGACGGAACGCCGTCCATTCAGTATCCAAACACCGAGCAGTTTGCGAATGGAACGCCGAAACGGAGGAGGTCCACCGCACATTCCGGCGCCATGTCCGCCGTCTTTGTTGTAGATGCCGCCTTGTCCACTGCTACGGTGTCGGATTCCTGGGTGTTAGTCCGGCAACGAAACTGAGATTTGTAACGCAGAACACACCTCATCAAACGCCGTTAAACAAAGGCACCGTGCAGAGTTGTGGATTTCTGCCGTCTCCTATTCCTAGGGTCACAAATCTCTGGCGCATGGGCCGGATGATAAACTTCGTCCGCGCATACTAAATAGTGAAACTAACGAAATGAAGCGGAAAGAGAAACGGCACGGCGGGTATGTTCCATGTATTGCATTCTCACCGAACGGGTCTTGCTTGGCGTCAGGTTCGGTAGATTTGTCCCATCCAAATATGGAACTTGGAGAGTGGCTATGAAGTGGGAACGCTGAATCTGGATCTGCTCGAACAGCTAGCTTTTCACCCGATACTTGTATCCTCGTTGGGATATGCACGAGTGCTGTATGCTGATGAGACCTACAGAAGCTGAAGGTATTGATGCGCTTGAAATAACATGACGGTTCAGTCAACACGTTGGCATTCAGCCCATCACGTTATGGCCTTCGGAGAAGAATCACTCCCTGGGAGACTGATTCCAGACGACTCACTGCGTCAGGTTGGCGGTCACTGGGAGGAGATTCTGACAATATTCTTTTATGACAGCCTCTGGGCCTGAGGATTGCGTTGTCAGGATGATGACCCCTGTAGCATGTGAAGCGCGTAAACTGAGTGACTGCTGGCAGAGAACGAACGCATGATTATAACAGACTGTATAAATCCAACAATCCAGACAACCCAAGTTCCTGTCCTGAACAGGTCTCTCAGCCGTGGATGCTTGAACCCGATTAGTACCCAATCCTCAGAAAGCTTTCCTCAGCAACGCGCTGGGTTATTCGGAGTGTCTAGTTGCGACTGCGCTTCTGCTGATCTCCCTTACTTGAAAGACTTATGCGTCCATTGTGTTAGAGAACGGACTGGCTACAATACCCTGATGCCAACGAGATGTGGACCTAGGGGTAGGGAAAGCGGAGAGAGAGCCGTGAGAATCCACAAGGATATGTACAGTAACGTTGAATTTTCACGGCTAGACTTGAACTAGATCTAAAACCAATATAAGCTCCCACTATAGGTATAAGAAAAGCTGAATAATGGCGCTAAACTAGAGTCTTTCGAAGCCGTTATATTACCCCTAGGCTGCCACTGCTGTTGGATTCGAGTCTTTGGAGCCGTTGGACTCGGGCCTCCTGGGCTGCTGCTCTATAAAATTCGAACCTTTCAACCCGAGTTGATCGAAGCTTGCGGAGAGTTAGCTGTAGTAGTTACTAAGTTTGCAAGATCCTGTTCATTTTCTCCTCCCCGGGCCGCCTGTAGCGGGCTTTGGTATCAATACTATGACAAGATCCACGATGCCTTTGCACATGTGTGGCCCAAGCCTCCCCTTTATGGACCAGTTGTCGATATGTGTTTCATCTTGAGCTAATCGGATGCTTGGAGATGACCTTGGATATTGCTATGAGATTAAAGAGGCAAAGCTGCAACCTGCGGCCGAACACTGCCCCCTTTTTTACGAATGACGCAAAACGCAAACAGAGTTCCGCTTCCCGCAATCAAGTAATTGAAAGTTAGTATATTGGGGCAATGTAAGCCGCCGGGTAAAGCTGCCGACTAAACTCAATTCTTCCCAGGTCCAGACAGCTTCGTTGGCCGTCACAGCAGAGAAGTCTCTTTCAGTTGCAGTATTTCCCGCTGAACTGCATCGCTCTTTGAAGTTGTCACACGGTTGGGCTACAAAGGTGTCGGGCCAACAAACGTTTTGGCCACTGGACAGCACCGCCATAGCGGCTATCACGTGTTCCCAAAGAAATGAGATTCTCTCCAGTCTCTGTTTATTTGCTTTGTATCTTGTGTTCATGGCTTGTGCCAACCAGTATGTAGGGCGGCACAACATATAAATACCGTGGCGTGGCCCCCGCTCATTTTTGGTCTTTTACCTTGAGACAGTGTCATTATCCGCCGGTCATTATGCCAGACTCACTATTAATAGCGCAATTTCTCCTCCTATATCGCTAAACGACCATCCAAGATACGAAAATGGCCGACTACAATGAATGGGTATGTCCTTAGCTAACTGTATGATATGCCGCAAGTGCTAACTGCTGGTATGACAGGACAAGCTGGAGCTCAGCGACTGCGCCCAGGTTGGAGTCCATCCTCATGCGGATAAACTGCCTTATATAAGAGCGATGCAGATGCAGATTCGCGCGAATTGACGGAAGCTGAAATACGAACGTACCATCAACCACACACTCATAGAACGCCTATCCGCTTTACTCTCCTCCTTGACGTCGGAAGCCCGGGAAACTCGAATCCATAGCCCGATTCAAACTGCATCCCAGGCCGTCGCTGAGTTGGCGCTGCGCAATCCCGACGAGCAATGTCCACCGCCGCCGCCTGGACGAGCACTCGACGAGACCTAGTCTCTGCCCACCCATTCAAAGATGATTTTGAGCATGTTGGAAGATGTGGAAAGGACAACAGATGAAAAGAATATAGACAAAGATGAGCGTTACGATGCCCTTATGGAGGAGCTCGGCATTCGTCTTCAAAAGATGCAGGACATGCAAGTCAACAGCAACGACAGCCTAGAAAAGGAGCATGTGATGAGGACCACGAGAAAAAGCTACTACATGCCACCTGAAAGCTCACATGCCAGCAAGGCGAGGTCGGGCGAGACAGCCAAACCAGAGCTACCGAACCCGAACCATGACCCGAACGACACAGGCAACGGCATCGCGGTGCTCTTGACGATGCACAACGGCCAAGACTCACCCTCCGCAGCCGCCATGTCATTTGCCAATATCCAATTTTGCAACTACCCCGACAGTCATGATAATATCTCCTCACATCCGGAAATCCTTTGCGAGTCCGAGGCCACCGGTCTGTTAGTGGAGGCCGTCGAGACTGCTCTCGACGGGAGCCGTGACGGGAAAACACGGGAGCTCATGCAGCAGCCACTGGTACTGAAATTCTGCAGTATGCTTGGGTGTAACGGGATGATGAAATTTTTCAAGCACATGACTACGCCGGCAGGTCAAGCATGTATGATCTTCATGGATGTCGAGGAAAGGTATGGACGGATTCTGAAGCTTAGCAGCCAAGTATCGCGCGGTGAGAAGATGCGAACCCGTCGAGCAGCTTCAGATACAAGCCCCAGATCCGGGCATGGCAATCCGAACTTGGGTTCCAGATCCAGGCAGCGAGGATGAGACGGTGCGGAAAGTTGGGGCGATTTGCCACATATTTGGCCTGAGATCGAGGCGGCGCTGGAGAGCGAGTCTATAGAGGCCGAGTTCGTAACAGGGAATTGGGAATGAGCGATGCTGAAAATTTGGTGAGCCTCCTGGTAGATGTGAGTATTGTCCTTGCTCGAGTATGCTTGTTAACCAGTTCCTTACGTCCCCCCTTGAATAATTCGGTCACTTGAGTGTTAAACATGTGGTTTTTGACGCTATTACGGGGGAGGTAGTAGCCGCAAATACTAGTGCTATGGAGTTCGAGACGGTGATGTAAATGAGGGAATTACACAGGATAAGAGTTAGATGGAAGTGAAGACACGGAAAACTTATGTTACTTGACAGAGCATATTGCGTGTTAGGCAATGGATGCCTTGTACAGGCGTTGGAATAATGTTCTTGTTATGAGGAATTTAATGTTGTCGCCATATGGCGTTCTGCGAGGCCTAGAGTAGAAAAGTAAAAGAAAAGTCGACTGGGCCTTGACGAAAATGCTATCCTGTGGAGCGGCGTCTACCTTGGCGGCCAGCCGTTGAATGGATACTCCGTCACAGAAGGAATGAAACAGGTTGATGCAAATATTTCCAGGGTATTTCTTATTTCTTATCTTAGTCTCGTCCAGTTTTCTTTATGTGGTTTTGCTTGAGAGTATGTAGTCCAGTGCTGTTCAAGTAGACATTGCTCTCAATGTCGTTAGACTCGCCTCGTCTAATATCCCCTTACCATCATCCCATTCCGTTCGGAACCACCAACAAACCAAGGTGCAGGGAACAGAGCTCCCCCTTGAGACCTGGGTCTGGATGACTTCTTTAGCATTTCCGCTATGACTTGATGCGCATAATCTCTTGAAATAGTCCACTCGAGGTTGTCAAAGAAACCTCCCTTTCCGCCTTGGAAGAGCTCAGTACCGTTGCGGTGAAACGTGCTGTGATGCCGACAATCGGGATGGCGTGGAGAGTTATCCAAGCTTATTGGACCTTTTACACTGTTTCTTGGTCGCCGAATTGTCCGTTCTTGTCTCCTGGCTTTCCTACAGATGACATCATTGAGTTGCCAATTGCAACGGTCATGCTGCCGGACAGAGCGGCGAACTGAGGGAAAAACCACCCTTCACTCCAAATTCCCTCACCCTTTGCGGCAAGGCTGCTACATTAAAGAAGGCAGTTTTTGGTCTTCCTTCTGGCGGATTGGGAGTTTGAAGAGTCACGGACACCGTCTTCCGTGCCCAGCGGTCTTGTGAGGTTCAAACTCGTTTGGAATGTGGACTGGAAGTAGCTGGCGATGCGTTTCACCGCTTTCTCACCAAAGTTAAACTTATTAATCTATTTCCGGTGTCTTCGGCTCGCAAGCCTGTCCTGCCTATTTCTGCCGTGCAGGGATGAAATCAAGACTGTCGGGAGGCTTCGTGGAAGAGGCGTAAAACGGCTTGCGTTGAAGATGTGATATGAGTCTGGGTTGCGGACAATGGGCTATCTATAAGATCCGTAAATGACATAATTCATGAGCTCAAGATAAATGAGGTGCTATGATGCCTCTGCATCGTTTTTTGGCGCGTTGACCGAAGTAATGAGGTCTTTTTGCAAATATAGACACAACGCTAGGAGAGGTTCATCACAGACTTGGAAAACTGAATAAATATTTCATCACCGACAGCGAATGGAGAAAACAGAAGTTAAGAAGCAGACAGAATCAACAGGAACGTAAGGGAAACAAATAATTAACTTGATAGAATACCAGCATTTGATGTGAAAGCAAAGAGAGGCACTGCCCAGCTCCAAATCAACAATATTCCCTTCGCGATGTTTAGATTCTTCTAACCTGCGTCGGAATTTCGTCGATTTGGACAGGGCTAATTTTCCGCTCGGTATTTTCGTGCGTACTCGAACAGTCGTGCGTTGATACTACTGGGCATCTCCGATAATCCTGTCGCCGTCTTGGGATTGATCCCACAGCGCAAGACCCTCCGGGTTCCAGCGTTGTCGAATCTCAAGATTCAATGCATAAAATCGGCAGTGGAGTCTCTTTTTTTTTATTGATGCTGTTTCGAGTTCACCCTGCTCCTTGACCACGCATAAGCCGCGTTCGTGATCGATGTGTAAGGTGATTTGCGCTCAAAACTGCGCAACAATAAAACGCCATATATGGATTTAAGAAAATAGGAATCAAGAACTGATAGTTTTGAGTTTGGGCTTAACGCCAAACCTGCTTCCATTTGGATAAAATCTACTGGATCTTCGAGTAAGGTCCCAAGGGCTTCAACAGCAACTGATAGGCCTGATTTGCGTCGCCCAGCCTTTTAAATGCTCGCCCAAGGCTTTCGTAGAGAAATGCCGGACCTCCTTACTGTGATGCTTGCGTAGACTGACGAGGGCTGCATAGTGTCATCTGATATGTTAAGCTGCCCCCCTAAATCTACAGAAGCCGTGCCCTGAATACTAATATTTGAATCCCGGAATAGCGCCACGAGAGATCCAATATCCGGCTTTGGCATTTTGAATATTCGGACAAAAAGACGAAACATGCAAGACATGCTCTGCTGCCCGTCGGGCGTCTTCATCATCATCCTTGAAGATAGTGGTGAGGATTTCGACAGTATGCACTGAAAAAGAAGACTGATTCTGCATGGCACTGGTGACAGAGTCTCGAATTGATTTGTTCAAGTCTCAAAGCATCCCTGCCAGGCCTTTAACAGTTTCATCTGAAAAACTTGATTCCCACCCCAGCATGTCCGCAGCGGCGGCCCGTACTTTGATATCCTCATTTCTATCCTCAAGTAGATTCATACAACATGCCAATGCCGCCTCCAAGCAGCCGTGTTCGCGAATATTTAAGGCATTACACAGATCGAATAGGCAATGGATAGTAATTTCTCAAAGTATACAATATGTGTATTTGAATGTATCAAGTAAACTTTTGGCTATTGCATCTGATGAATTGGACAGTTTGTGTAGCGTGAATGTATCACTATATCTAGAGTCATCACCCCTTTTAATTAATCTGATGATGAGATATCGAGAGGACGTCAGTGACAACTGTGTCTGGGTACATAAAAGTCCAAGAGCAGCAACATACGGCCACTCCAGCGTAGAATGCGGTGGGCACATTTTGATGCACAGTTACCTAGGAAGATTTCCATTACTTCATCTGAAAACTCAGCTGAGTTTCTAATAAAGGAATATGTTGCGACCTCGCATTTAAACTCCGGCCACCGGGCCAATCTGTGTAAAGGCTTTGTTCGAATCGGCAGCCGCACCGAATGGCGCACTTCATTCAAGCAATGCATGACTGGTCGCCGATAAGCAGGACCGAGGAAGCCAAGTGGTTCTGAACTGATCAAGTCGAAATATTCGTGAAGTGCTGTCTCTTCGGTTTGTAGAAAGCCTGCTATGAATTGCCAGATTCTCTCAAAGCGAAGGTATGCTTTGTCGTATACCCGGGTAAAAGACGGCATGTTACGAGTGAGCCAGAGGGCAGTGATATACTCTTGAAAGATCGGGTGAATGAAACTGTAACCGCCACGGCCATCCGAGTGCATAAATGAGAGATTTCGTAAATCATACTCGGGAGATAGTGGCAGCTGCATAGTATCGCGCTCCACCTGACGAATAGTGTCAGTGATCTCATCATGGCCAATTTCGGTCTTACCACGTCTGGTCAAGGTCATGGCAAGGGCTTCGAGGAAAGTCATCTCCATGGGGATAAGACGGTTAAACGACTTGAATCTCGAACGGTGTCAAGAATCCCTTTTGTCATAACGGAGCCGGTCAACAGGTCCCACTTTCTGAGCCGAAGAATGTCTCGCCGCCAGAGCCTGGCAACGACTGCTTGATATAAAACGGTTAATTTACTAATGCCGTCAGATGCCATCACCTGCCGCAGATCGTCCCAGCCGTAGCACAGGATATCTAGGGAGATCGGTGTTTGAGATAACTGAAAAACAGGCGGTCTTGCAATGAAGGACTGGATATCAATGGAATTCTTCCCAGATTGCACAGCTATTTGGAATTCAATGTAATTACATGCCACCTTCTTGCTGATTTCCATAGATTCAAGTTCGAGGTCGACAATAGCGTGAACTGCTGAGCCAGTGTTGTGACAAGGGCTCATAAGAGGGCTTGAAGCAAAAGGGCTCAATTCAATGATAATCTTGTAGGATGTCAAAGGTCCTTGGTTTCCCCCAAGCCGCGAGGCGAGGGGGACCATCTTATATACATGAAAGGAACGGCCCGTGCCTAGTGTGCCCTCAAGTTCTCGTGATCTCCTTGTGTAATAAAGGGCTTCTGATCCTTGCTTGACCTAATCCGTGTGACAAATGTTCCCTCTACCGGAACGTGTTGTGAAGACGATGCTTTTGAACTGGGCCAATTCGCTGATGTTGCGCTCTTCCCATCCACTTGAATCGTCCAACTATCACGATTGGAAGCTATGGACGGAATTGATCAGTGGAAAAGTCCTTGGAATTGGAGCTATCTAGGTGGATGATTGAGGGCCTTTTATAGATATCAGAGGTCATTTAAAAGGTCATCTGTTGAGGGATTTGATTGTATTAAATAATTTAGCTTAAATAAAGCGATAATGTGAGCTTTTTTGAGGCTTTTAATAGCTTATTTAATGACATTATATAACTGCAGCTATTTTATATTAAAAGAGAGCCTTTTTCCGTTAACAACATGGTCTTTTCTGTATCTCCTCCGAATACCTGCTAATAGAGCTTTTCTGCTAGCAGATCTTCGTGCAGCTTGCCGTGGAAGCATTCTAAACGGAAGAAGCTCTTGAGTGAATCATCAAGTCCGAGCTTACGTAAAAGCACCCGGAGAACCCAGGAACTTATGGTTCCAATAATGTGTTTTCTGCTACACTCGTCCGATATCTACTTGCATAGAGTGGTCTTGCCCATCCGGGGCGAGGGTGTTCCGTCATGGTCTCGTGGCCCAGCCTATGCTAGGATGGCCATGTCTGAAGCGAACGAGCAGTCAATAGCGACTTGGGGGCTGATTCCTCAGAGGTCAAATACCCAGTAGTGGAAGAGGTACCGGGATAGACACCCAGAAACCTGTGCAAGGCTGCAAAGTGGTTTGGAGAATGGGACTTGACAACGTGGCTTATACCGTCCCACCACTGCTTGGTGCTTCAAGCCTTCCGAAGCCTAGGATTACAAGAGCATAAATGTGAGGCCCCTTGGTGCAGATATATCCTAAATGGGTTGAGTATATGCAGCATGAAGCTAGTGTGAGAATTTGATCCAACTATTCTAGCTATGTACCAGGCACTGCTTTAACTACGTTCCGACTAATAACCCGGAGGGTGACAACTCAGGGTATTCCGACTTATATTGCTCTTGAAACCACCATCACAGTGTAGTTGTGACAAGGGTTTGTATGTCTTAAATACAAAATGCTTGGGAACAAAGGTTCAAATCGAGCTAATAACTCTCTTGGGTATCACAGTTCCTTGGCTTCAATCAAGGCTCTTGGGGCCAGTATCATGCAAAGCGGATTAAATTGGTGGCCGACGTAGAGTGATAAACGGCGCGATAGCAAGCAACGGAGCTAGCTATAACTTCCCGCTTTATATTTTAAATGTAATATATAATATAACTGCGTATATTTTCACTTTTAATTGGTTTATAGGAAGCTACCTTTTCATAATTGTTCATAAAAAACGCTACTCATATATAGTATCGTGAACCTCGCAATTTGGTGTTGATGCCACCAAGCCGCAGGCGGCCCCTGGCATGGTCCCCGAAGGGCCCCTAGAGGGTATTAAATACATTACAGGCATGGCCTCTAGCTCTCTCATTTTCTCGTTAACATCATACAAGGAAAATAAAGTACATATATATTTACTGTTACAGGAAATACTTTGCTTCGAGTAAATACTAGTTGACACTCTAGTTAATAATAGCGACAATCCCGAGTTGACAGGGATCCTTCGGGATTTTCTTTTTTCCGGCGCCGCATTATCCCCAACACAGAACAAGGGACCAGCCTCTTCAGTCTCCCCAAATCAAAAACAGCCCAGCGACACATCACATGCAGCACCGCCGATTACTGCAAGGTACTCGGTACCTAAAATCAAAAGAGCTTTTGCGGATTCATATCCGCAAAGCATCCTTTACGACAATGTCAGGAAGCACAACTGGTTCTTTACTAGAAGAGGAAAAATCTTCTTCATATGATCCCAAGAACTGCTATCCAGCACGAATTGGGGAAACGATCCACGGGAAATATCGGCTTATTTCAAAACTCGGATGGGGCACGGGGTCAACAGTTTGGCTCGCAGGGGTAGTCTCACGGTGAGCATTCTTAGATTGCTTCTTTCCTCCCTCTCAATTTTCTTACCTCTCGAAACTGATCAACCAATAGGTGGCCATGGAAAACCCAGCGTTATGTGGCGTTGAAGATCACAAACAGCTCAGCTACGGTCCAAGAAGCCGCGCGGAAGGAGATTGAAATCTCAAACTACATATGCTCTTTGTGGACGACGCACCGGGGCCAAGAGTATGTCCGCAAGGTCCTTGACTCCTTTGAAGTTACAAGGTCTGGGCGGACACACCTCTGCCTGGCCTTTGAGCCGCTCCGTCAACCACTCTGGATGTTGGGTCGACAGACCAGCCCAAATGGCCTTTTGCAGCCTCGCATTATCAAAGCCTTACTGCCAGGCATTCTCGAATGTTTAGATTTCCTACACGCGGAGTGTCACGTTATCCATACGGGTAAATTCTGGGCTTGCTTTTCTTTCACCAGCTTTGAAGATGCTTACGATTGATGCAGATCTCAAGGGGGACCACTTCATGCTCCCGTTCGAAGACCCAGCAGTTTTGAAAGACTATGTTCGTGAGCAAGAGGCCAATCCCGCACCATTTGAAGAACGGCGTGGCCGCCCGGTGTACGAATCAAGGCCGGACTTCGGCCGCTTAAGGAGGGGTGTAGGTTTCGTCAAGCTGACAGACTTTGGTCTTGCCGTTCGTGGAGACGTTTCTACAATGTATTATCATGATATCCAACCCCTTGAGTACACGGCTCCAGAGGTCATGCTACAAGCAGGGTGGAGCTATTCTGCAGATATTTGGAACCTGGGCCTAGTGGTTTGTAGTTGTGGTATGACATCTCTTTGCATAGTAACTAACGGAATCTAGCTGTGGGAGCTTCTGGCTGAAGTGAATATTCTTGATGGAAAATCACCCGGAAACCCAAAATTCTCTTACCTGACCCGATTCGCTCAAATGATCCGCCTACTAGGGCCGCCTCCCGCTTCCCTTCTTTCCCGAGCCAACAAAGACGTATACTCACGCCTGTATGATGATCAAGGCATGTTGAAGGTCAAGGGTTGCAAAATTGGAATTTAATTAACTTTATTTAGGGTCGTTCAGATATCCGAACCTTATTCCTGGCGAAGACTTTAATTTCTCTAATAAAACCACGATCCTAGAGGGACAGGAGAAAACCCTCTTCATTCAATTTGCGAAAAGGATGCTTGCTTGGGTGCCAGAGCAGAGAAGCACAGCCAAAGAGCTGCTTGATGACCCTTGGCTCAAATTGTAGATCAATATGGATGATGTGATTTTTATAGTAGAGGGGTAGATAGGAGAAACTTCGGCTAGAGGATTGTTGATCTTTTGTATTTCAGAACGAAGCGACGTGCGTACTTGTTTGCATTTTAGCCCTACAAGCAACGCCTTGTGTTATTTACCTAGACGTAGGAAACAACAGGAGACATGCCGGCTTGCCTCAAGCTCGCAGCATGACTTGAAAGAAAATTAGGCGTATTAGTCATGGTCAGGCCAGCCCATCACTTCTTGGACTTCTCCTTTCCTTTCCTTGAGGAGCTCGCTTGATCCACTGGGCCTTCGTAGACCCAATAGGCACTAGACGAGGCGCCTCCATTAAGGGATTCCTTAGAATACCAGACATGCCTGCCACCGAGAGGCTCCGGGTAATAGTAATGCGCAGTAGTTATTCTCTTGTCCTTCTCGTTCCTAAGCTTGAACTTGGCATGCATCGGGTCGACGTAGACATGACCATCGATTATGTGCTTGCTTTCGTGTGGAGTGTCCCTACTAGTGGTGAGTAAACATGCCTATCTACCGAGGAATCGGGCTACTCTATACACATACACTTCTTCCACAGTAGTTGCTCTCCTGAGCTGATCACCATATGGCTGCTGCAAATCGTAGTTCACCGTGTCTTGGATAAGTTGCTCAGCCACTTTGTGGTTGAACTTGGAGCCTTTCTTGTTGAGCCTGTGCCACATATACTTTAGAACTCTCGCGGCTCCGGACATGATGCAGCTGGTCAAAATTGGAGAAACGGTAGGGAGAATGAGAGAAGATGAGGAGTGTGAGATGCGCAACAATGAGACACCCAGGTTGTAATCACTCTTTGATGTGATTTTTATAACCCGAAATTCTGCGTCAGGACTCAGTAGAGTGAGCAGAGAACCCCGCAAAGAACAAAGCCCCGCGTATAACCTGGAGGCCAAAACACAGACCAACGCATTAGGACCTGGTTCAAGTTTGCTTTTGATCAACTGGCCGCGAAGTGCCATTGACGATAGGTGATACAGCTTCTGTACATGAAACCACCCCCCTTCCCCCCAACCCTTTTTAGGCTGTCGTGTTAAGCCTTCTCGTTCTGGGCGGTTAATGATTGGCTTGTATGCAAACATTTGAAGCCCTAGACTTTGCAATGGAACTGGAAATCCAATCGATTAGCGCCCTCCAACGGCACGGGTTCCACTGGACTCGGTATGAATATGTTTTCCACCCTTAAGCGCCAACGACCGCTTTGCGTGTTGGAGAATAAATGGATGGTTTGGGCTGAATGAGGGTGACAGCGCCATTTCTTGAGGTGGCCGATGCCCCAATGCCCGCATACGTGCCTACTCACATGGATGCCGTCCATGCCGTTTCGAAACAACCTTCCTCGTCGAACGGCAGAGCGAGGGCAGGATCTGTCCAATGCTTGCTGAACAATAAACCCGGTCGACCACTTCTTCCCATCCACCCCATGTTGCAGAGCCTCGCGTTTTGAGAAAAGCTCAACGCCGAGGGCTGCCTGGGGGCATGGGCCAGCCTGGGTTCAAGGAAGCAGCAAGCAATAAACGTTACGCAAGCAGATTAGACGGGGAAACATCACGATCCATCTCTCGGCGCAATTTGCCTTTAATTGTGAGCCAATCAATGACATGCGTAGCGCGTATGTGTTGGTGATACAACAGACATCACAAAAAGGACCGCCAAGTCCTTTGTCCAACCAATCTACTTTCTCACGAGGCGTTGGTGATGACATTTTCCGTAGCAGGAAACCAAGCCAATTATCAGGACGCGTTAAGTAAACTGTTGGTGATATTCTTTCTTTTCAAGAACGCACTAGGCACGCCGTTGGTGATGTCATTGTTTGTAAGCAGGCTGAGCTGTTTCTGGTTCTCAATCCCAGGCTTCACATCGAGGCATATATATTTCGTGCAAGTGTCTCGTAAAGGTCAATCCAAAACATCTCTCCAGTCAATCCTTCAACGCTGTCCAATATGCCATCTCCCCCCAACGAAGAACCATTCAAAATCGACGCAGAGACTTGTGTTGCAGTTACTGACGAGGGCATACTATGAATCCACAACGTCCTGGGCCAAGCGCAGTCTAGCGGCCCGTCAAAGGAAGAATGGAAATGGCGACAAACCTGTAACCTCTATTTAACCATAAACGTACTCTAAGTAAAGGCGCTTGTCTCCGTTTTATTAATAAGAATGTAAATATTTTACTATTTAAATTTCTTATTTATTTTAAGTCTCTTAGCCTCGCCTTGTTATTACCAAGCCCGTTAAATGAGTGGACATGAACAAGCTCGACGCAGAGAAGCAGGAGGTGGTTGCCAAAGAACTTTAAACTCATACAGAAGCCCCGAGCAAGTCAAAGCCTAGTATCTGGGGCAGTCCTGACGATTTGGTGAGTGTCTCTCCTAGCGGCATAAGGCCGATGGCTGAGTGACTAGCAGGCCAATAGGTTCTGCCTCCATCCCGGGTCATAATAAAGTGTGACGGCACGCTCTGGGAAATAAAGCCGCGGGAAACGACAATCAAGTACCGTAAGGTGTTTACAAATGCAAAGACCATACAGCCTAGAACAACCTAATCTTCCGGAGAACTCATTTGAGGTCACTAAGCGCAGATTCTATATCCGCCTGATAGTCTTCCAGACCATACGCGACCATTGCTTGGCAGGCAGACCTAACAAAGTCATTCACCTTGGTGACCCCGTTTGCGTATCCCTCAACAGCTGTCATCAGCGTCTGCAAGGAGCTCTTCGTCTTTGAGATGTTGGCCCCCTTGGAAAGCGGCACAAGCTTCTTGTGCCGGATATCGGAGAGGGCGGCTAATTTGTTCTGGAGGACATCGAAGCGCAGGATAGGTGTACCCCAGACCTCGATGACCCCAAAGGAGGTCCTGTTATCAAAGTGATGACGGGACCACGACAGCCAGCCATTGACTGCTTTTTGCAGTTTTGGTATCGCCGTATGCATCTTGCGGATGAGACGTTGCATTTCTGCGCGGTCCGGGTTCTCGGGCGTGAGGGCATTGATTGCCGCTTCAATGGCGCGCATGCCGGCCTCAAATAGGGCGAGCTCTACGGCCTGTTTGGCTAGCCACTTCGTGAAGGCTATAGCACTCTGCAGAACGGTCCGCCCAGCAACTTGCGAGGCAGTCGACGCAGTCCCTTCTCCAAGTTCAGCCTCGGCGGCAGCAGTTTCTTCAGCAGCAGCTGCTGCTTCTTCGGCGGCGGCGGCCTCGGCACTAGCTGCAGCTGCTTCACTCGCCGCAGCGGTAGCTTCGGCAGCCTCGGCTGCGACAATGGCGGTTTCGGCGCCCTCGGCCAATACTTCAACAAGGGGGATGAGAGCAAAGAAGGCCATCTTGGTTGGACGCTTATGTTGGATGGACCGGAGGTACTCCGTATATGTTGCGATCGGGAGGAGTGGCGGATGTGAATCCCATTTCCAACAGTGTTCTGAAATCCTCCTCGTACAGGACCTACAGGTATATAAGTCCGCAGGAGGATGTCTTCCCTGGAAAAGCGGTGTGCACAATAAGTCAGCCAGCCATAAAATGTACAGAGCTATCCTCCGGGCTGCCCTGGCTCCAATCAATAGGTACGGTAGAGTCATTCCACCGGAAGAAGGGGGGGAAGGAGAGTCAGCTTTGCATCCCATGTCTAATCACCATGGCGGCGTTTGAGTAGTGCAGTGCAACCTTGACAAAAGAACTGCAGGGAACCTTTGCTTTTGTGATTGTTCCAGTTTGGGCTCTGCATAGTGTCAATGCATGTAGCAGCTTTGTGCTGCTGAGGATGTATCGGGCAAGGTGGTGGTGATGCTGGCGGTGGCGTCGTGGTGTTGAACTCCCCCCCCAAATTAAGCGGGAAAATCCGGCGGTCTTCTTTGGATGGGAATATTTGCCGCAAATCTAGCTTAGGTACTTACTCTGCAGCCACTACTAGTAAAAGGCTACTGCCACTGACTCGAGACATCCTCTTCGGCCATCCAATTGCCGCATACAGCATGACATGCGTCTTCTTTAGGAGACGGATCGGGCCTCGACCCTCCCGTCCATGGCTCCCGTCCCCACTCGGGGGTTAGCCGTCAACGGTCAGTTTTAGCGTAAAGGGTCATGTCTCTTTCCTCTTTCGGGCTCATACCCCGTAGAAGTTAATATAATGTCATGTTGCGATTATATCACGGTTTTCAGAGCTTGATAAGACCCATTTAATAAACTTCCTAGATGTCGAGGCCTTGCTTGATTCCGCATTCAATGACGGTGCTAGATGACGTATTCGTGACAGATTAGCTACAACGCGTTTTATCAACGAGCGGCCCATGTCAGCAGCTCTCGCGAGTCACGTCCTTCAGGTGGCCAACCTTGACAGATCACATTTCCTCTCACAACACGTTACTCGTGCCAATTGGTCAACTGGAACCGATACTTCCCTCCGAGGTTGCAGTCCGAGACAAGCCCCACTCCACCTGCCGATATGATGTTATAGGCATTGATTCAACGAGTTTTACACGAACATGGCAATATGTAGATATATAATCGAGCATGGCAACCCCTTTTTAACTGTGCTCTTCTCTGCTCATTAAAATTCCCTCACACTACGGACATACGTCGCGTCTACCTCGGGAAAACTTGATTCATTTTCCATATTCTAAACCCGTTTTCTATTGGTTCTCAAAATTTGCATACTTGTTGAATCGGCGCCAAGATGAGTGTGCTCGCAGAGCTTGCTGAAGTCATTGCGGAGGCGGGCGAGGAGGGTGCAGAGACCGCGGCAGAAATTGGGGCTTCATCGGAAGCCGATTTGGGAGAATTGGCCGAAGAGATGGCAGCCGATGATTCCGTTGAAGCGAAGAGCGTCATGGAGGAAGAAGGCGTTTCTAAAGAGTTTAAAGAAGGACAGGATGAGATCATGGAGGAGGCCAAGACCGGCACCAAGGCCAGCATCCTCAGCCGGGTCAGGGACCTGGTTAAGAACATGTGGAACAATAAGGGCGCTTTCGCCAAGATGATCGGTGCCGAGGTTGCCAAGGGAGTCTTGTTCACTCTCGGCATGAAGGTCATCGACTCCATCTGGTCCAAGAAGGCCCAAAATAACCCGAGCCCTGCGAACCGACGTCGCCAGGCTATTACTCGGGCCATTTTGGCGGAGCGTCATCGGACGGACCCAATCGTCAAAAATTGGCAGCTTTGGATGGCGAAGCATTTTGACCATCGCGAGAGCTATGGCAGTATCACGGTCGATGATGTCGACATCACCATATTCCAGATCTTACAAGAAAAGATTTCGCAGGCACGAGAATATTCCGCTACCAAGGTCCAAGAGGCTGTGGATGCGGCGAAAAAGAGTAAGCAAGCCGATAAAGCGGAGGCGATACTCCAGCTGGAGACAGAGTATGTGGAGAAGCTGGTCAGGATCAACACGACCATCAATCACAACGGGTCATCGATGATGGCAGACGGTCTGAAGGTATACGATGCCGAGTTGGACGAAGCCAAGAAGGAACTGATGATATGAGGTTCCAGACAACCAGAGGATTTAAGCGGGGATGCTTGATTATATTGACAGTGCGTTATTTCAATAGTGTCATAACTCCAACTGATTGCCCGGTCGGCCGGTACATGACGTGCCGGACTCTACGACCAACGGTTCGGTTCCAGCTCCTTCCTCAACGAAGGGGACTAGCAAGAATGAACAATTACTCATACCTCTGTGTTCCATACGTGAGTGCGGAGCGCGTCGTCGTCACGCAGGGGAGGAAGCCATGGTCAAATCGTCTCCATCCCGTGCAGATGGGCTCGTAGCGCTGTACCCATTCCTTGTTTGTGCCCGCCCGGTGGTGGCATGCTGCTCAATATAATGCTGGTCCGGTTGTGTTGGCTGCTGTGCTGCTGATGCCAGGGCGCCTGCTGCTCTGGTAAAATAAGGGCTGGCGTCGGTATGCTGCATCTTGAGCCCTTGCCGGTAAGAACAAGGGGACATCTAGATACGGCTTGCTATATGCCATATTATAGCTTTTAAGTCGAAGGCTGTGAGTGAATGAGCAGACAATTTTATCGATAACTGTAGGGTAGCATCTGATTGGAGGACCGTGAAGCGTTCAATGTTTCGATTTTATTAAAATGAGCGAGTGCCCGGTCTTTCTCGCCGCCTGGAATCGTTCACAGTCGTCATTCACAGCCTTGACACACTCGGCGCGCCATGCAGCAACAGGTCGGGGCGAAGCTGATTGCATTTGTCGTCCTCGAGCCATACAAGCAGCAACTCGGCAGGACCTTCTCGGGTCTCCGGGACCAAAACCTACCTCGATTACACGTCGAGCCCTGACATCGACTTTGACCACATCAAATCCACCATGACGTGCACCAAGTTTTGATTCGATATGGGGCTTCGTGATAAGACATGCTCCTCACTCTCTCCTCTTAATATGGTCTAAGCGAACAACGTCCATATACATCGGTGCTCTCAAGATCGCCAGCTGCAAGCCTTGCGCAGCGAGGTCCAGGAAGATGCCAGATTATACATCCGCCAAGACATGTTGGAATTCCATCACCTCCACGCCATCGATGACGAGACGCTCTAGTACGTCTTGAACACGTCCATGTTGCGTCTGCTACCACTAACAGCTGCCTTTGGCGGAGCTACGTCCCACAAAGTCCGAGATGACTTCCAGTCCTGGGTCCCAAAGAACCTCGAGGACCGTCTCCAGCCGGACGCTACTAACCCGCAGAACGACGTAGAGTGGGTGCACGCAACATCCACGCCCAGATGCGAATATGGTCTCTTTGTGGATGATGTCAGTCTCGAATCCGTGGACCATCTCGCTGTCAACTGCCAGTCGTGAAGCTTTTGCGCAAGAACTGGGAGTCCCCATTTCCCCCACACGAGAGGAACTACACAGTTCTCGCCCCGTTCCATGAAGCCACCGAGTACGAGGAGGAAGATGTGGGCTGGATGTACATGCCGCTGCAGGAATACCTACATAAGTATGACTTGCTTGGAAAAGGTGACTGCACGGCCAGTATGTGAGACCCCCATACATTGACGGAACCGAAGACGAGGGCGAGGGTGAATTTGTAGGACATTGGAGGTACTTGAGAGTGTGTATACACTCGCCTGTTGTCACCTCCAGATGCGTGATGGTCCTTTAAAATGCGCATACACTCACCAGCATTGACGCGCCATAGTCGTATAGCAAAACCAGAAGAACCTGAGGCTAGGAGTGTTGAATCATGCGAGAACGCGAGGGAAACAATCTTTCCGCCCTTCACCTTGCCCACAAGAGCACGTATAGGCTTCCACGTTTTTGCGCACCAGATACTTATTTTGCGTCGCCTCTTATCGATGGAAGCCTTGCGTCGTGCGAAAGAGTTACCCGATCGACGTCGCAGCAATCATTTTGCCCACCCATAATCTGTATGCATTCGCCTTTATCTATGCACTAGACTCGTAACGTTTCACAATGGACCGTTAGCAATAGTAGTGAGTCATGTGAGAAGACTACGGACGAGGCACGGTCAACGCAGATCTGAAGAGTCGGAATGGGTTAGGGTTAGGCAGATATGTTGCATCTAGTTTTGATTCTTGGCTTCTTGTTTCGTAACGGAGAATTTCTTTGAGCTGCTTATCTGGATTCCCGCATCTACGGTCGTCAAGAAAGCGACAGATTGTAGCAGCAAAAATGAACAGCGGAACCGCCATCTTAATAAGTGTCTGGACGGCAAATTGGCCTCGCCAGTTCGTAGCCAAGCAACGGTGATCTGATACTGAAGCATTATATTTGTCTCGGATTCTCTTGAGATCATGATGGAGAAAAAGAGATATATCATTTTCCATCACTGGGCACGGGAGATTATGCAATACCAAATCTCGGTATTTGCGAGACATTTTGCTCAACCTTTGACGAATCGGCAACTCTGGGCGGCTGGTCACGAAAGTCTTCAGCCGCACAGATCGTAAATCTTCCACACGAGAAAAGAGGAAGAGAAGAACCTCAATATCATTGTGACAAGGGCTCATTAAAGGGCTTGAATCAAAAGGGCTCAATTCAATGATAACCTTGTAGGATGTCAAAGGTCCTTGCTTTCCCCAAGCTATGAGGCGAGGGGGGACCATCTTATATACATGAAAGGAACGGCCCGTGCCTAGTGTGTCCCATAGTTCTCGTCGTGTTCTTGTGTAATAAAAGGGCTTCTAATCTTTGCTTGACCCAATCTGTGTGACAATCATCGGCTGATTCCTCATCTAGGGCGTCGATGACGACGATGATAGCTCGGCTCCCCAACATGCTGTGAATTTGCTTGTAGAGGTTCCAGGATGAGTTTCTGGAACTTCTCTCGCAATCCTCTGTGTACAATCTTGGAGTGATTCTCGAGTGCTTTCGTACGCTGAGGGGATATAGCCGGGGGTCTTGCCGCCATTTGAGCTGCAGTTGTGGTAATGACCTTTGATTAATTGCCTCGATGACCTTTGCCTCTTTTAAAGAAGAAGCTGGCCCCCAGAATGCCTTGGTTGGCAAATACCCCAGCAATGGTACGGGATACAGTAGACTTGCCGGTTCCTGCTATACCATTCAGCCAGGATATCTGCTTTATTCCTAATGAAGTAGCCCATGTATCTATATTCTGCTGAACATCGACGCGTGTATCTTTCAGACAGGTACGATTGCGTTCCTCTGCATGCGAGTCAAAAGCAGCATCTTCCGAGCGACTGCTTTTGCTGACCTTCTTGAATATCTTTTCTTCGATGAATGTCAGCTAAACTTTACTTCTATAATAAAACATCATACAATTTGTCTTACGAGACCATTTTAGCATTTTCGTTTGTTTGCCTTGAACAGGACTCAATATTTTTCACGCTAGCGTCGACTTCAAGTCTATTAGCATCAAATATTTCCCATAGTCAGGATAAACTAACTTGAACTAATCAAATCAACAGCTCGTCGTGTTTCGTGGAGCTGTGCAGTTGGGACGAAGCCCAGGAGCTCCTTTGCAAACGCAGCCGCGGTCACAGAAGCATATCGCTGTCACCGGTCATTTTTGTTCGAATCAGCGTAGTGGCAAATTCCTCTTATTACGGGCAGGGAAAGCAATCCATGAGACTAGCAGCTTCCATTTCAAAGCACATGCAGCCCTGCCCAGCCGCCTCAGAAATATTATCCCTTTGAACGGCATCCTTGACCACTGTGTTCCCTGAAGCAATAAGCGAAAATTCTCTCTTTTTTGGCGCTTAATCTCCTGAGATGGGTCGCAATCATCGGAATTGTTGCCTGGAACATGATTATAAGCGGACTGAAACAACCGATCATGCTCATATCCGTGATGGGCGTATCCCGGGCTATCATTCACTCCGTTCCTCATCTTCGGCTTTGACTTCCACAATTTGTCGAGCAAATTGGGAATATCCGAACCTTTAATAGTTAGACAACGCACCGAGGAGCACATCAGGGGGCTTATTCAGCGTTCCTTTAGGCTGCCATGTCTGATCTGGCAGTGATTTACCATAATCATACTGGACGACCCCTCCGCTTGTTTCCTCGGGTCGGCCTATGACGACATCCCCGAGCCGGATATCCTGTCCGTTGGTGAGGTCGAGCTATGCCACCACCAATTCCCCACCAGAAGACCGATTCGGATCTGCGGAAGGGACGAGAGGAGGTTCGAGGCTGTAGTCGCAGCAGAGGTGAAACCGTCAACACCTGAAAGTAGTGAGGCAATGACAATGTTGTGCTCGCCCATTCGGCCCCAGAAATATAGATTCGAATCCGAATGGTGCTGCTCAAACCCTTCCGGCGGCTTGTGGACATCGTCTAGTAACGCAGTAGCCGCCGCACATTCTAAAGGAAGAGCAGCAATCCACCCTACGGTATAAAGTTCCGAGCTCTCGAGTCTCGTTGTCATCGCTCTAAGTGTATGTCGATGAAAATAACGCCGAGAAAGAATACGAGAGTTAAAATTGGATGTCACCGCGACATCTATTTTCTTCGTATAGGGAAAAGAGAGGGGAAGAAGAGGAGAGATCTCGGTGACATCTATCTTCTTGGTGTAGGGAAAAGGGAGGGGAAGGAGAGAAGAGACCTCTCAGGCGAGAGATAACTGTAATAATATGATTAGGCAACGTCAATATATAGATTTCCCTTGGGGTTACACTTGGTATATCAAAACAGGCTTTGAAATCTTGTCTGCCTTCATTGGGCATCAACAAGGCTTCAAGTCAGGTATATGTCTTGGAACACTTGTAGCTTGGTCCCCTGCAACGGATCCTGGATTCTCATCGCTCGACTTGGCAAAATTGTGCTGCTGCATACTTTTCGCATTTATATTGTACATTAGTTGACGACTTCGTTGTAGATTCTGAGCACTTGATCATGCTAGCTACGCTTGACAATGTGTCTGCTGGGGCTAGTATATTAGCTATAAGCAGCATTGTCTAGTAGAGTAAATAAGGCGGAGGCGCTTCATTATCGTAATAGGTTCAATTTCTGCAGCCGGTCTGCAGGTTGTAGAGCGGCTGCAAAGACGACTTCCATTCATACCTTGTCACATTCCATCACTGGTCGTGAGCTTGCTTACTCGCACACACCGGCCGGAATCAGCAACTCGCATTTCCGCAGGCAGTGCTTTCTTCTGCTGATCAATGAAAGGCAAGCAGCCATCAGAGACCCAGTCTCGCCCAAGTGTCAATACATGATTCAAGTACAAGTACGGTGGCCTGTTCTTCACTAATAGCATAATCGAGTATAATATTTCCCATTTAAGGGCAGGCATTTAGACAGTATCGTAAAGTGTACAGCTTTGATATGGATGATGCTATTATACTACAAGATGATAGCGCCACTGTCGTCACAACAATAACCTCTCAAAGGACTAAGGTGAATAAACATCACAAATTGTAAAACCCTCAACGCGTTGAACAACCATCAGGCAACCATGAGGCGAGAAATTTAGGATGCCCAGAAGTTGAACTGACTGCGATCGCCGATGCACAGGTACCGTTTACCATGCTTGCGGCAATTTTTCTATAGGCTTAGAGGGAGTTAATGTAGTGAGAAGGCTGGAACTGTAGCGGCCACAGCATGAAGCTGCATCTTGCCGTCAGTAATCCACCATTCGGAAAAAGATGAGGCTACATGCCGTTGCTCACACCAAATGATAAGAGGGGAACCAAGATCTCTCACAAGTATATTGGATGTCAAAACCGCACAGCCCTTGGATTTCTAATAATAAAGGGGCAAGATGCCATCGCAGCTCGAGTCGCTTCACTGGCCAAAGCATCGCCTTCGCCTACTGCGATGGGCACCCAAGCATAGACCTGGATGGGTCACCTGCAAGAAAGACTATAACCTCAATAACGCTATGTTTGACAAAAAATGTGGCTAGAAAAGGTGCTGTCAAAGGAAAGTTTCGGATGCTGTGCATTTCAGTACCACTGTGTTTCGCTGGCATTCTCACGAACACTTCGACAGGTAATTTGCAGCTTGTTGTCTTCATTATCGGTCAGCGCACAATGGTCATGTTGACCCGAGAGCTAACCTGTATGAGAAGTATGTCTCACTAGTATGGACTGAATCTGAGTTGCAATTAGGACGTGGAAGCAGGCGAATGGCCTATGCAACATCCTGGACCCCAGCCCAATGACTGCGGCATTGCCATCTAGCAAGTAAGTATACCTGCGGCTTTCTTCTACACCGACTGCAAGGAAGAAGCTGCTCAACGGCCGCATAATGAGATTCGCTTATTTATGATGAGGATGAGATGTGACAAGGGCTCAGTGAACGTTTAGAGTAACACTTAGTCCATCTAATAACATATTTGGTATTCAAGGCCCTTGATTCTCTTCCAGGCCTAGTTGACCAAGGAGATTTACTCATTACATAAGTAGGTTAGAGCCTTATGCCCTGGGTCTCGTGATCGTAGCCCTCGTGTAACCGTGTGACATGACGATAGAGGCAAGTGAAAGAAGAGTAGAGGGCCTTTCTAGGTGCGGTCAAAGGCGGCAGGGACCGTCACACTAAAATATTATTCATATCTTACTAAAGCTATCTATAATACTATATATCATAGCCAAGACAGCTCAAATATCAGATTATTATAACACTAGACTGCGAAGGCTGAAACAAGAGGCAATTGGGGCACCGCTTGTCAAGCAATTTGCCCGCGGAGCCGCTTTTATTGCGCCTCCGGAAGTTCATAGTAGTCGTCGGTCTTTTTCGAAGATTGGTCTCGTTTGCCATCATGTGCCCACAAGAGATAGACTGCATCGTCTGAACCCCCACGACCCTCGTTGATATTGGTTGTTTTGCCCACAAAGCCGTGACGGGTGTCGGAGAGGAAATCGTCAAGGCTCTCGCTTCCCCGATGGAGCGCCAAACGCCGGATCTTTTCGTCTGACATTTTCTTCTCGCACTTGAGGTAGCGGTTTTCGCCTCCTGCGCCCTTTGACAGATCCTTGAGCCCGGATACTGACGAGCCAATGATGACGGTGAAGGAGGTGCATGCTTCGTCGCGACGTGTAGTGTACAATGGAATAAGCCAGACAAATCTATCCAAAGATTTTTAGCCTTCGCATCCAAGAGTGGAATATTTTCAAAGGTGTAACTCACTCTCCACCAAAGTTGTGGTTAATATCCTCGGGTTGATGGTGGACCTCGATAACCCGGTTCGCCGGCGGCTTGTTACCGTATACCACCTATTTTACTTCAGCTGACGGAGGCTTGAATTGTGGGGAGGATAATGCTTACTTCTAAACCAGATATATAAAAGTCATGAGCTATAGCCGACTTATACTTGTTGAAGAACTCGGTTCTGAAGTGTTCGATGAGGGCCTTTCCTGTATTCACGGCATTACCTGGCTCCTCTGCAGTAGTGTCAACCTAACATGAGATTTGTTAGCGCCTAGTTCATGGTTGTTAGTTATTATGATGTGGTTTGCGCATACCCAGTTCTTGCTTAGTTCCACCATCTCGATTTCAGCGAACTCGACTTCGTCTTTGAACTCGGCGTCTAGCGTTTCGACTGCGATAGAGGGTCAGAGAATCTACAGTTGACCAGGGATACGAGGCATCTTACGGCGTAGCAGATACTGCGTCATTTCGGAAATTCGCACAAGCTCCTTCAGAATCTTGTACGACTAAATCCCGTGTTAGTTTACATGCGTAGACAGGTTCTGCGATGCAACTTACAACAATGTGCGCGATGTGGTAGTCAAGAAGCTTTTGACCCGCAGGAAAGTTGACAGTGTTTGTGTAGTCGTCGAGAAGGGGCCTTTTAAACCAGTTATCATCCAAGCCCTTCACGCCGGGCCTGCGCTTGTCTTACCGGTACGCGTAGTTGTGTCGGCAGGCGTTGTTAATGAACTGGTCCGCCCACGTCTTGACCTGCTTAAACGATCCCTCCACAGAGGCTGCTGCAACTTTGTCGGGGGACCCCGACTCGCCCATAACCCGGCCCAAATCTCCCTGGTAGAATAGCGATATCTCTACATCAGCGTGCTTGCTCACATCTTCCATGCTCTTCTTGACTGATGCGCTGATATCGCCAGTCACTCCCCAGAACTTCAATGAAGCCTCGGCACTAAAGACATGAATATGAGTCCCAAGTATGTAGATTTCAGTTGGTAGGTAGATGGTCAAAGACTTACTGTACTTTCAGGTCCTGCTTGCTGATAGATCCTTTCGAGTTGAATGATAGCCGAGCAATCATCTTGCCACCGGTGTGGAAACCTGATCAGTTAGCCTTTACTGATCAAACGCAACTGCTAGAGGGCGGGGATATTTACCGTGAATCCATTTGTCACCAAAGTCCCGAGCAAACGAGGCCGCCTTGTACCGGTTCTTATTGAACTCAAATACAGCGGGCAAGTCTACTTGTCTCTGAATATCGATAACGGCAATATATGTCAAGCCTTCTTTGGAGAGCTATACCTATCGTTAGTTTTATTCCACTATTGCGATTAAAAAACTCATACCTCTGCCTGATTCAGGTAACTGCCGGATACGGAAGCACTCTGACCCCAACCAGATACTGTTGCAGCGCCGCTGACGTGCAGAGCCTTGATATACGAACTGCACCGCTCCAAATTAGCTTCGACCCTCATGCAGCCCTATTCACCAAACATACTCAAAGCTTTCTGTGATCTTGTAATAGGTGTCCATCTTTCCCGTGCAGTCCTGTAGATCGGTAGTAGCTCGGGTATGGATTACGTTGAGCGCAGTCGTGTTTTGCTCATTCTCCAAGTCGGCAAGAACATCCTTCATGATCTCTTCTGGGTCAGGCGGGGAAAAGTATGACACTACGTTTACACTGGTCAAGTTTGCGCTGGGCGCGGTGAAGTTGAACGCCATGGTTGTGGTCTGGTTAACCAACTCTTCAGCCAGGGTCGCGGGTACATCCCTCTTCTGTTCGCCAGGAATGAAGACGGCGTCAGGAATCATTCCCTTGTCCAGAAACGTGTTGTAGCTGATTCACGGTTAGAATAAATGTCTAGCCCCTTGACAAGACTGGGACTAATAGGAGCCGCTTACCCTTGTCCCACAGACAACAGGCCCGGGCCCTTTTTCTGTTTTTTCTTGCCGTCATCTTTAGGTCCTCCAGGTGTCGTATCTTCTTCTACCTCCTGCCGTTTCGTAGGTCCGACCTGAATCATGCGATCCTCTTCTACGAAGTCAACCTGGTTAAAAAGTTAGCGTACACATAGCTGTATAAAGATGCTTATAGAGAGTGCGGCACTTACATGCTCGTGTCGTTTAATATTCTCGAGCACGTCGGGCGGGAAGCTGCCCGAGTAGCCGTGAAATCCAATAGAAGTCCCGCGATACTCATGTTCAACACCCGTTGCTTCGCTTACTTTGTTCTCGCTGCCGTCGCCTTCTATGCTTCGCTTGTGGATAGATTTAACCCATTCAAGATGATCATTCAGATGTTGCTCTTCTAGGCCTCTCTTTAGAACCACAATGTGGCTATGAAACAGTTAGCATCGGAATTTGCGATCGTCAGTCGTGTTCTTAAAGGAGGACTGATTTCTTACCCCAGTGGTCGGGTCGCGCCGTCTTCAGAGGAAGCCGGCTCCGCCGCTACCCCTCTCAGCAGAGCGGACACGAGGACAAGAGACCAGTGCATGCGCTTCATTGTGCTGTTCTGGCAGAGTTGCGCTGCCAAGTCAAACTAGATGGCGGTCGGGGAAGTCCTTGGATGAGTGAAGGAAGAAGCGTTTGAGTGACGGGAACAGAGTTCTTATAGACAACGCAGCTGTTATAGCAGAAGCCAATGCCAATTATATGCCTCTTACTTGCGTAGCGAGCCGTCTCGACTGCAGAAATCACCTAGTCTCTTGCAGAACAATTTTATAGCAAATATAAGGCAAGTCTTCGTGTACACCCATGCTATGTTGGACGTGGTGCCACTATTGCTCTTAATCGCCACGGTATCACTATATGTCAACGGCAACTATACAGACCGAGGGTATGCAGGTCAAATATAACTGTGCTTGCAGCAGTGAAGTATTTCCCTTTTTGTGTGGCTTACTCGATTGTGGCATCATTAACAGTCGTTGTTCATATTTGTCTCGGAGAATTTGCCAAGCCATCAGGACACTGCCTCTTATGCTCCAATTTCCGATTGGTGCACCTACGAAGCACTCATCGTATCAAGGAAAATGTTGGGCAAGAGGTTACGGGACATCCATGTCCCGACTGACTAGGATAATCTAGCCTTGCGGTGACAACAAAATGAAAGAGAGTTCATGGCTACGCGGTTATTCCCACTCTTTTCGTGGGGCATTGGCATTGTAGTATCTCCGATAATGCTGGATATATTACAAGTATGGCAATCTAAGTGGTATATCTAGTATCATGGGCCTTGTATCATAGTAGCCGCCGTGTGTGTGGGCTACCCTGGCAGCTCGGCTTATGCCATTAGGCTTTTTCCAAGATGACTGAAGAGCCCATGAATCAAGTTTATCAGTACGTATTCGAGATTGGAAAGGAGCTCTACAATCCAGCCCTTGAACTCTCTCTAGAACTACTGGAAAGCTGGTGGTACCCGGGCGCCATCGGGCCTCTGCATAGCGCGGACGACGGCAAGCTCCATAATTTAGATAACATTGAATTTAATATATCGAAGATCTCCAGTTGTCTAACTGGTTACTGACCCCTGCTGTGTGGCGGTACATAAAATGATAGTAGGTCGCACTACTCATCCGATAATCGCTCCCAGTGCCACTTTAGTTCATATCTCATAAGCTAACCTTAACTCCCAACCCTAACTCTTATATGAACTACTAATCCTAGCCGCTAAACTCTTCGTGGGGTGGTATCGGGTGAGTAGGGGCTAATATCAGGTGGGCACCCGCACCTCATACCATGTCTTCACGACCCTCCCTGCTGTGGCGGCGCCGTTAGCCTTTCATGCATGACCTTACAAGGCAAGGGGGACTGTAGCCAACCAGCAGAGCTGTAGTGGGTAGGAATACTCCATCTAGTACTGAGAGTAGCTTTTGAGCAAAAAAAAGTTAAAAGACTATCTTTGAGTGCGTGCTGGTATAGTGCTTACGTATTGCCATATTACTCCTCTCTCTTCCAGGTAAATATAAACTATATTGTACATGGAATACCTTTTTAAAAAATATCCTGTATTAAATATTATTTTGCTAGGAACTTCTGTTGCTAAGCTAGCTTACTTTGCTTGAATTATTGTATAGTAACCATAAAAACTAGAACTATGGATAGCATAAAACAGTAGACCGGTCCTTGCTTGACAGTGTCCTGGCCTAGCTACGTCTTTGACCCCTTACTATAGTTGGAAGCTAGTTGTCAATAGCGCATTTTTCGTTATACAGTAATGTCATTAATATGGCTAATGTTTGATATGCAGCCAACGTTAACTCCCTCTTTTCCGTGAACAGTTACTACGAGTACCTTCCCCATAGATCACGCATGTAGAGTAGTAACTTGGGGGTTGGTTTGCAATTTATGCATCGATGTTTGCGGTAATGCGAGCCGGCTCATACCCACAAAAGGATCGAGCTCGGTTAGCACTGCTGATATACAGCCGATCAGACTACACGACCCTAGCAAGGTAAGAGCGATACTTATCCATATTTATCATGCAGATGGAAGAGGTTCTGCGATTCTCGCGCTTTGACCTTCTATCCATTATGCGTAGAGAGCGACGCAAATGTTGGATATAGCAAGACCAAAGACACACCACCGCCGCCAAAACTTTCAGTGCGCGATTCTCGCCTACTTCTTGGCAAAGATACGAGTGTCGCTTACTCCGAACCATCAGCCACGCTCTCCGCGGCTCCAGAAATGCCTATGGAGACACGACCTCTGGGGGCTAAAGCCAATCAGGTCACAACGGTTACGTATATATACCAGGGAGGCATACTTACAAATAATCTACTAACTTAGCTCAATACGCAATTTTGTGTCCAGCCTGTTGTTTGCAAGAACGGCGTCATCAAAGTCAAACAAGGACTAAACCAGGCTCTCTTTATACTCTTTGTGCATGTCACAATCACGAACTGGCCTTGGAGTTTCGAATTTTGGGTTAGAGTCAGGTTTACTTGCAACCTCGAGTAACCCTTGTACAGCTTGAGATGGGCTGCATTGGGAAGCGCCGTTGGGAAGCTTCTCCCAAGCCGAAGCAAGTCGGTATATGACTGCAAAAAGGGGGCAGAGCTACGGAGTATAACAGCCGGTCATCAATTCAGGAACCGTTCGTTAGCCTGTCCCACACAATCCGCGGCGACAACGGCCAATTTTTAGGAATCATGCATGCATTGTACCCACCCCCATCCCCAGTCACATTACGCATGATGACCGGGGGCATTATGCACTATCGCGCGATGCATAGTGATAATTCACAAGTCGGCATCTCCCGTCTGTGCCCTATGGACTTGAAGAAAGAACCTCGTTTAAATGAAGTCCAAAATGGCACCATCTTCTAGCGGCTCACTTGTAGCTCGGTTATCACCGCAACCAACCTGCACATAAAGAGTCGTATAAGCGGCCGGATTGCAGCGAAAAAGACGACTTTAAAACCTGCATTTGCCGTCTATTACTCACGGAAACCTTGATTCCAAGATGAAAGCCTCGACGATTCTTGCCTTCTTCTTTGGGCTGACTTCAGCCGGGGTAACTCGTGCACCTGACGGTCTTGAGGCCCATATAGACCAACTTGACTCCGATATCAAAAGCACCAACGCCGCGCCTCTTAGACGGTCCTCACAAAATGGGCCCGAGTCTTCTTCAGCACCGAAAGACCGTCGAATGCTAGCAAAAAGGGCATTAAAAACACAAAAGAGTGCCCCTTGGGGTCTCAGAGCCGTATCTCATCGACGCGCCGGGGCCTTTTATGAGAAATTCCCCCCCGACCCGGCGTCCAAGTACTACTATGATGATCGGGCCGGTCTCGGCACGTACGCATATATTCTCGACGGTGGCATCCGCACCACCCATGGGGAATTCGAGGGCCGCGCGGAGACGGTCTTCACTTTATATCCCGGCGATGAAATTGACCACCGCGGTCACGGCACCGGAGTCGCTGGCGTACTTGGAAGCAAAACCTACGGCGTAGCAAAGCGGGCCAAGCTCCTGTCTGTCAAGACGCTCGATGAAGAAGGCGGCTGCACCGCTTCTGCGGCGCTTCGCGCGCTGTCCTGGACTGCAGAGCATATACTCAGAAACGGCCGCCAGCATTCATCCGTCATCAACCTGTCGTTCGGGGTCAAAAAGGTGCAGTCACTGAATACCTTTATAGAAGCCCTCATTAGCGAAGCCGACGTCCCTGTCGTCACGGCCGCCGGCAATGAGAACGAGGATGCCAGCATTAGCACGCCGGGATCTGCCAAGGGAGTAATCAACGTTGGCCACATGAACAAGCACTGGGTTCTTTCGCCTAAGTCGAACTGGGGCCCGTCGGTTACTATGCTAGCTCCTGGAGTTGACGTGGAATGTCCCTCTTCAGGCAGCGATACCAACGTTATATTGCAGAGTGGCTCCTCTTTTGCGGCGCCTCATGTTGCCGGTCTTGTCTTGAATGCAATTTCGGTCCATGGCATCAAGGGGGCTACTAAAATAAAGCAATTCCTTCTACAGTCGGCTACCAGAGACCAAGCTTGTACCTACCACAACACGCCAAACATAGTAGCCAACAACGGCAACACTGTGCAGAAGAAACACACAAAGCCGCGTAACTGTTAAGACTATCACGATTGAAAGCTGTGGATAGAATTGGGCAGTGGAATTAGTCCTTGATTGAAGCTATCTAGCCAGGTAGGCTAGAGGTTTTTGATAGAGATTGTAGGTCATCCGTTGAGTCATTCAATGAGGGATCTATCTATAATGAAAATGACGGGTGCGATAGAGCCGTGGGGCGAGTCTTTGCGAGGGTTTGCGAGGCCCTTCGATATATAGGAGCCTTTTTCTTCCATTCAAAGTAGGCCTGTTTCGTTGACAAAGACCGAGCTGGAATTTCATTATTTAATTAAGTTCCCAAAAAGACTAAAGTAGTAATAAATGATATTGAGTTTTGAATAAAAAAAAAAATACAGGTTATCATACAAGCATCATGCAAGTAACTATATACAATCTGTCTATCTGGTAATACAGTATTTTGGCCGTACCTTGGCCAGAGAACCGCAACTAACGACGCAAGCCACAATGAGGGCATCGCGATGGTCAGATAGCAAGATTAGTCTGGTGATTCAAGAAGAAAAATGCAGCTGAAACAGCAACTGAAAAGGCGGCCAAAAAAGCAGCTAAATAATACCGTGCGGCAGTTTAACCTCATCCCGGAGGCAACTCAAATGATATATTACAGAAAGAAATATATGTATGAATCTGAGATTGATAAATGTTTTCACAATTAAATAATTACTACTCCTTATATTTTCTTCAGAGACCTAGTTGCTACGCCGCGGAATTAGGCAATGAGGCCGTAATTGAAAGCTAGAAGCCGGGCGGTCAATTTCGAAGCTTTGGGCCAGGCTTGATTGAGGCATACAGCCTGTTACCCGGAAAAGGCCCCACAGATCGTGAAGCCCAACAAAGGGCCTCACCGATAAAGGACTCATTCGTTACACAACGAGACCACGAGAAGTATGGGGCGCACTAGGCACGGGCCGATCCTTTCATGTATATTAGACGGTCCCCCTTCGCCTTGAGGCTTGGGGAAACCAAGGATCTTTGACACCATACAAGATTATCATTGAATTGAGTCTTTTGCTCCAAGCCCTTGAATACAAGCCTTGTCACACAGCCGGAGTGTTGGAATTCGAGCCTTTGGGTCGGGCTCAATTGAAGCTTGCAGCCGGGTCCGGATTGACGCTGTTGAACTTGACGCGCTACTGCTGGGCCTGATACCGCCAGCAGTATCGATCAACCGATAACTGCCGCTTCTGTTGCCGGTATTCGCGATATTTAGGGCTAGCTGGCCAGAGGTCTGGGAGAAGCTACAAGAGCTGATAGCTGGAATGTATTCTAGCAGATGCCATAGATTCATCGCTGCCTGATCCTTTACGACAAAGCTGCTGAAGCCGCTGCTGCTCTTGTTGATCTAGCCTATCGAGGACGATCACTGCGTCTGACGGATCGGACCGGGCCGGAAGCTTATGACGGGCTCGTTGGATTGAAGCATGCCCGGCTCATGGAATTAAAGAAGACTGCCGCCGGGAGGTTGGGCGCGGCGGCCGTTTAATCGAAGAAGAAGGGAAAAGAAAGGCTGTAGAAGGAGGTCTGCAGCGGCCGTTCAATTGAAGCTATTAGAGGTCCCGTAGCTACTAATAAGCTTGGACGTATTATTTGAAGCTATCGACCGGGTTGACGGAGGTCTCATTAGTTGACGGAAGTCTCATTAGTGGACACGATCTGCCTGCTATTTCCGTTGGAAGAACGATAATAGCTGTTGCAGCTGCCGAGAGGCCGGCGGCAGAGGGCTTCTATTGGATTTATGCTGAGCTAGAAGGCTCATAGCAGCTATTAAATAGATGTGGCCGGGTTGAATTGGAAGCTGGCGGATTGAAACTGCTTATTAAAGGAAGCTGCCGTACGAGGCCTAGTCAGGGACGGCTTTGTCGGGCTGCGAGATGACTTGGTTAACAATATCGCAGCCATGAATCTCTAGTCCTCACTGCTCAGACTAACACTTGGTATTTATAGTGAATAAATCAGTAGGAATATCTAGAAAACCGCAGTGCTCTATTCCATACGCATCCTCCTTACCTCTGCAGAGGTGTACCATCGTTTCAGGTCGCCAATATTAGTCAACTCAGTTCAGCAATGACGACTCACCAAGTGTACGTCTTAAGGATAACTCATTGCGGTCTTTCATGTTAAGGTTTGGTGTCAGGTTGAGTGGAAATGGTAGCATAGCCGTCCGCTTTCATGTTGAATCGACCGGCAGGGGCGTGATTTTAGATCTGATCACGTCTAACAGCCGGGCCTGCTTATAATAAAGGCCTCTTACAATCCAGGCGAATAATCTACATTGCAATAAAGCGAACCCTTCCCATCCTATAGGAATAAAATTATGCATACTAGTATATTCGACGAACTTAAGGTAAAAGTCACATAATCCCAGTTAATAAGCTATAGTTAGTTAAAAGAATCTAGTATAATTATTTAAGGTAATAAGTCGTAGTAATTAAATACAAAGAGTCTTTCACTTAAGAATTTTTATTTTAGACAGCTTAAGCGTTACGTTATGGCCTTCTATATCTCGTAGCGGGTTAAGACGGACTCAAGCCACAAGTTCATAAAGGCGTTGGCCTGATTTACGCCTGCTCCCAGCGGAAGACCAAACGAATCTTCGAGGTGGTAGCATCTGCACTGATTTGTTGCTAGTGACCCAGCTTGACCTAGCTGTTAGCGACTCAGCTGATCTTAGCCGATAGATAATACGACAAAGCTGAAGGGCCAGTCAAATGGTAGCAACCCAGCCAAGAGTCAACCACTGAGTAGCCAGTGTGGCTGTCGCACGGTCAAGAACTGGAGAAAGGTATCGGATAATAAAGGTTATATACCAACAAAAAAAGGTATCACGAGAGCCCGGAGCTAAACCTTAGCAAGGGCTGCCTCAGGATATTAGGGCTCACTGGCTTCTTATATCTATAGAGACCTTTAGTCCATTAAGTCCTTGGGAGAGACTAAGGACCTTTAATACCTTGAAGTAAGATCAAATTGAACCTCATATTCTAAACCTAGTATCCCTGCCCTTGTCACAGTGGCCCCCTAACCCGGTCTATGATACAGTATATGGCATTGTCAACTTGTACAGTTCGTTGAACTCGAGGAACATAAATCCCAAGGCCAGAAGCATACTTCATGGCCTCAATAGCATCTTTAACGTCATTCCCGAGATATGTCTTTGCCAAGTACTTGGTAGAAAGCGGGGTGATCTTAGAGTGCTTTGGTAGAGTAGGTAGCCGTTTGATATGATGGGAGAATTGCGCATTCGAATAGGCAACAATCGATAATATAATATAGGTTCAAGTTCTCAAGCTTCGTTTCTCTTCAAAGCCTCCCGGACCAGTATTAATTATTCCACTTGTCGTCGTTTACGCCGGCTGGGGGGCTCGGCTTTCTGGCGACTCGCCACAGCAAGCTAGAATTGTTGTTGGAAGAAATATGTGATATTTTAAACAGCTACGGTAATAAACTCGTAGGCGTCTACAGTCTTTTTCCCTCTGACTAAATTGGAATATTTCTGACAATTATTAGATGAAGCTTCTTATTTTTATTGTGTACATATACAGTTAAATTGCCTGCATTTTTATTTGATCTATGCATCAGCAGCAATAAAGGAGCGTAGACTGCAAAGATTAAAGAACAAAGTAGAAGAAGTGTGACAAGGGCTTACATATAAGAGCTTGGAGCGATATTTATATTCAGCTAACAATTCGCTTTAATATCAAATTTCCTTGGCTGTCTTAAGGCCTCTGGGGGCGGATAACCCTGATTTCCATAAAGCGGCGGTAAGCAAGCGAGGCTTAGACCTGAAGCCTCAACTAGATCTCGAGCCCTTGTGTAACTATCTTCAGGTTCAAGGGTCGGCCCGTGCCTTTACAACGTGACCTCCGTGTAATAAGAAGATTAACAGATTAATACTAATTACCCTAGGAGTTTATGTACATCCAACCAGTTCTTATCTGTCACGTCTTGGCGTTGAGCTTTTAGCATCTGGTTAGACTCCCAAATTTCCTTGCCATCTTTCGACCGGTTCGCAAGGACTGTTAGCTGCGAGTTCCTGGTGTTGTCTTGACGCAATAAACGCCTAAAGCGGGATGATAGAATATTGTGTATAGCGGGTCACGTTGGAAATATTCCAATTAAGTCAGAGGGCAAACACTGTAAACGCCTACAAGATGATTACCGTAGCTGTTAAAATATTACATATTTCTTCCAACAGGTTAAATAACAGGCTGACAGATAACACTTTTCGACTTCACTTCGGGCGCCCACCTCGTTTACCTCTGTGGGTTGCCTAGTCTGTTTGACGGTTTGCTCTCCAGTGTATGCATTTGCCTTGTACACCTATGATTCCAGAAGATGAAATGTGTCTAGAGACCAAGGGTCTGTACTGTTGGAGCCTGTTATTCTAGCTGAACTTGCAACATGGTCTTGCTTCACACGTGGCCACTTATTGCGGGATAGCAACGCATATGCGCACTGTCCCCTTTGGACTAAGACCGGCAGCAAGCATGGCCCTTATGTCGGAAGCCTTTCTTGAGCAACTTATCCGAGGCCTCTAGAGATGAATACTTCTCGTACAAAGCGGCGTGCATGAGTAGGGTCAACGGTTGTAGACGTTCTCAAAAAGGCATGTAAGGGTGCACGCAGGAGCCAAGGTCTCATCAACAATACTTCATAGGCGATAATCTGATATCTATCAACTTCGAGTGTTAAGCCAAGAACAAGATACGCATGAATTAATGTGATGTATCTGGCTGCACACCGTTGCCTAGGTTTACCAGCGAAGCCCTTCAATACACCCAGTTCGCAAAAATTAGAAGCTCGTTGCTATAACTCGTTTTAGCGGGACGTTGTGCAACGGCCATTCTCCAAGCAGTGACACTTAGCGCCATTTTCAAGATGAACAAGATGAGTCAATTTAGTTATTCTGGCTACTTGGCAAACTCTGCCTAAGGAGTGACAATATTAAAGGCAAGGTTTGGTTCTGTAACAAGTGAGGTGATGGTATCCCACGCCTTGGTATCCCCATAAGTAGTTACGTCGTCAAGAGAGTCGATGCTCTTGGGACTACCAGCGACGGCCGATGCTACAAGCTCAACAAGAGCCTTGTGCAAGAGCCATACCGTCAATGTGGCATTTTCATTCCGCGGATCCGGAGGCGGCACGTACTCAACCGCGCGGCTGGTAACGGCGCCGTTGCTCAGACGGACATGCCAACCCGCGCCCTCTGCGGGCTGCTTCGGCGTCGCTTTCATGTCCTCCACCATGAACTCAATAGTGACACCCGTCTCACGGAAAGCCTGCGGCCCATTCACGGTAATGGCCACCGCATCGAAGAGCTCTTCAAGGTCGAGCGCCATCAGGGACGCCGGTGTTAGTGCGTTGATGGCGGCCGTAGGTCCGTTTTGCAGCTCCGACGCCCCGGTCAAGTAAATATTACGCCACGTACCATTTTCGCAACCGTAGCCAAGTGTTGTGTAGACTGATGCCAACTCATTCTTTGCATCGGTGTTTTGGTCGTCGGCGAAGACGACGTGGTTCAGCAGAGTAGCTGCAAATCGCAAATCTCCCTTCGCGATATAGTCTTTGGCCGTTGCTAAAACCTGGTCACTGCCGCCCATGCTTGCGACATATCGTGTTGCCTCGTCTGCGGGGGTGTGTGGCCACAGTTTTGACGGATTGCCATCGAACCAACCCATGTACTTGTCATATACGCCTTTGACATTATGGCTGATCGACCCGTAGTACCCCCTGAGGTGCGTCTTGACGCTTAGATTCGGGGGCATCTCGATGCCTTCCGCTATTTCCACAGGGGTTTGGCCATTGTTGAGCTGTCGGAGGGTTTCATTGTGAAGGTAAGCATAGTAGTCTCGTTGCTCCTCCAAAAAGGGGAGGACGTAGTTCTCGCCATTTTCATTCCAAGTCGGCCAGTGATGACTAGCAAACACGACTGAGGCTTGATCGCCGAACAAGGCAATGGCCTGATCTATGTATCGCGACCAGAGCCTCGCATCTCGAACAGGGGCGCCTCGAAGCGTCTGGATGTTATGCAAGGTATGAGTCGCATTTTCTGCCATGCAAAGGGCCGTGTATGCCGGGAAATAAAAGTTGACTTCGGCTGGCGCTTCCGTCCCCGGGGTCAACTGACAATAGATCTCCAGCCCCTCGATTCCAGGAACCAGAATACCGTCTTTCTTGATGGTTTGATTCGGCGCCACCAGAGAGCTAGTTCCCGGCGGCACGGCCTGGCCCAGACCCGAACCTATCTGTCCCGTGGGGGATTTATCCAAGGCCTCTCCGTACATGTATATTGATCGGCGGCTCATAGCTGCTCCGGCGTAGACATTCTCGCTCACGGCATGTTCGAGAAACCCATCAGGTCCAATGATTCGAAGATCGTCACCTGCAATGTCCTTGATTGCCTGGCTGCCGCCAAAATGATCACCATGACAGTGAGTGTAGATGAGGGCTTTTATAACCGGTTCTTGCCCTATCTGGTCCTTGTGGAATCTCTGATAAAGCTCAAAGGCCTTGCGAGCCGTCTCTACGCAGGTCAGACAGTCAATAATAATGATGTCGTTGGTATCCGGAATCTGGACAATAGTCATGTTGGCAATGTCTGCCCCACGCACTTGGTAGATACCCATGGTGACTTGGTAAAGACCGGCTGTCACGGTGCAGAGTTGCCCCTGTCTCCATAGAGACTTGTTTGCAGTTGATGGAGCATCGTCCTGGAGAAAGCCGTATGCGTTATTGTCCCAGATAACCTCATGCTTCTGCTCAGAGTATACCAGAGGATCTTCAAAGGTTGCTACAAGACCCCTTTGGGCAAATTCGAAGTCACGATTGTCGTCACTCATGGTTGAGACGGGGTATTTTGCATGAAAAGTAGACGAAATGGCTTCAGGGCGTTGATTTTGTGAATGGTTTGGCTCACAACCCTTCGTTCTGCTTGGACGAGAATGTCAAAGGACAGACATTTATACGTGGATGGAGACCAACTCCTGACCCGGCATTCACCGACACGGCAGCACGAACTATGAACGGGAAGGTGTGAAAAAAGCCCTATGCAGCACTTGGATACTTAAAAGGCAGTGCATCCGAGTGCCCCCCCACACCAATGTGAGGCGGGTAGATCCTCCCTCGCGTATGCAACATTTGCCCAAAGCAGAAGGCTGCTCTACTTGAGTTCGCGTGGAAAGCTAATGGTACGGCAACAAATGTGAACAAGATGGTGTGAAGTAAACCCTGTGCAACAATTGGATACTTGGAAGGCGGTGCATCCGAGTGCTCCCCCAACCCCAATGTCAAGGGTAGATCGTCCCTCGCGTATGCAACATTTGCCCAAAGCAGAAGGCTGCTCTACTTGAGTTCGCGTGGAAAGCTCATCTCATACGGAGTATCTGACATTCCATCTGCACGTGTGTAAGTCGGGAGCGTTGGTGGCTTGCGTCTGCCCTGTGGTATTTCATAGTATATTTCTCTTACTCCGCAGAAAGTAAGTGCATTTTCATCAAACGGACAACCTCGCCTTCATACAGCCCCTAGGGACGGCCGGTTGGTCACTCAACCGGCTGGCTGCAGATGAATATGTTATGCCGGGGGGGGGGGGGGGGGCGCCTCACGGGGACAAAACACCGAGCGGGGGGGGGGGGGGGTGGCCGATCAGCGGCTACAAACACGATCGCGGCGGTTGAGGTTTCCAAAGTCTGAAAGAGCGTTTGCTTTTGCGCTCTTGATAGTTGGTTGTTTGCAAGACCGGCCCCGTACATAAACCCGATGACCTACCAGTCCATGGGCACGTGGTGCATCGTTTGATGTAAACCTTTTGGCCGCTGGACGACTATTTATGATTGTAAGTTGAGAATGATTCACAATTAGAATACTGTGCTCCAATATATATGGTCAGTTGAAGTTGGTGTATCGTGTTGTTATTCGTACAGTACTTGAACGCAATGTCGCTCTATGCAGGTCCTTGATCCGTTCAGCGCCCGTAATTGACAGATGGAAGCTATACGTTGGTCACATGCTGCACTTTCATACAAATGAAAGACTATGTTAAAACTTAAGTGGCGAATACTGTATCTTCATACCCTTGGGGATGTATCTAGATGGCTGGCGTGACAATACGGGACTGGCGGGACAAGCATATGCACTATCAAGAGTCACTCACCGTCGGGGCCCTTTGTAATTATTACTTGGATCGTCTAGATAGGAGTACGTGCTATTCATATCGTGTAAGAGAACCCCAGCGCTGGAGGTTCTATATTCATGTATGACATATGTACTGTGGCCATTATAGGCATTGGAAGTCAATGGTCAAGTAAACTCTCCCCCCCTTCCTTCAACAAAAGAAAAGGAGAAAGGAAGAAGAAAAGAGGAAATAGAGTAATATAAACAATTAGAAATACGACCGAAATAAAAAAAAATTCCGCCGGAGTTGTCATCACTGTACTGTCAACACAAAAATGTCTAGTAACCCATGCTGCCATCTGCGTGTAATGATTCAGGTAAGATAGCAACGCCCTCTTTGCTACACCTTCAACTGCAGCGGTTCCGGGCGAAACAGGATGAAAGGAGGTACAGTGAAATCTAGAATACGATATCTGTCAGTTCATATAATAATGATGCGCAACCCCGAATTGGAGATTGGAGACGTTGCTCCGAGGCCCAAGGTGGGGCATCATCTGTCTTGGAACTCGAAACCTCCCAGCTCCGTCTTCGCAAACCCAGCCTCAACAACCACAACTTCCCTCGGCCAAGCAGCCATGGCCGCGCCGACACCAACCGTCCCCTCGCTCAAAGAATCCTTCATAACGGCGCAGACAAACCTCCTCTCACAGCCCCTCGCGCCGTCCCGCATCTGGCGCCGCAACAACAACGCGTCAAGCCAGCCGATCCCGACGCGCGTGCTCGACGACGCCCTCTTCAACCTCAACCAGACGATCCAGCTGCACTGTCGGCGCGTCTACCCCCCTCAAGCGAGCTACAATGTTGCCGAGCAGATAAGCAATTCATACACGAGGGACGCAGAGGAAAGGGTCGGCAAGCTGAAGGAGTCGGAGAGCAGCATCGGCCGCGAACTGGACCTGGGTGAGCTGCTTTGTCTGTATCTTGTGGCTGAGGATTATGCGCTGATAATGTAGCAGCTGCGGACGATGCGATCGAGGAGCTGCCTTCTTCGTGGCCGATCGAAACGGATCTTGATAATTACCCCGAGGAAGCAGAACAGTATGAGGCCATCGTCCTCCGGCTGACCCAGCTAAGTGAGGAGCGGAAGCAGATACGGCTTCGTGTAGAACAGCTGCGTCGCATCGAAGCTGCGGTCAAGCCTTTAGCTACCACTGATGAGGTCACCATTCAGGACAATTTAGTTACGCGCGATGGGCCGGTGGAAAAGGAGCTGGAGAGAATGCGAGTCTTGCTTGCACGCGTGACAAGCCGCGTGGCTGGTTTGCCGGAACACCCTGCCAACAATCGTTCAGGATCAAGAACTAGCTCAGTTGTGGACTTGGGGGGGATGACCAGGTCGAGGAAGAGGAATATTGACAGCTTTCTTGCGGATCCTCGGGTCTTCCCCTCATGAATACGGAATCCGTACCGCGGGCCATCAAATTTTTATACGAGAAGCCGGACTGCACTACTACGAAACCATGGGATACCGTCGGCTATCATTGAGCACCCAACTCTCCCAGCCTTCTCACTACATGCTCAGGAACACCCCATCGTAGGTTCCACGTCGCGTTTCGATAAGAACCTTCACAACAATGCTGGAGAGATCTATCCGGCCATCGTCGGCCTCGCTTATGCTTTTCCGACACTGGTTGACCCATTCTGGCCCTTTGGAACCCGTGTCCCCAATTATGTAGTCAGTCTCGCCTAGGAAAACTTCCACTACGAGACGTTGTTCTGGAGAACGCAACACGGCTGCCAATCTTGGAACCAAGGTATAGTAGCCCCTTCGCGTAAACAAATCTGAGCATTCTAAGCTGCAATGCCCCTTCAAAGGCCACTTGCCGATCAGTTTTTTGATGAAGGACGGTGAAGACTTGGCACCTAGAAGTCCGAGAAGAATGTCAGATGTCGCGAAATATTTAGACATCACGGGTCCTGACGCGGTGGACGCAAGAGACGCCAACTTGTCTGTCTGCTCTATTAACATCTTCGGGAGAGGGTGAGTGACAGACATGGCCAGCGCTCCGGACTGGGAAGGATGGATCCATAGAGCACCGATTTCAATATGGGGCTTCTTTTGTGGGCGCAGAATCTCAGGGTGGTGGAGAATGAGATCAAGTGCATACACTGTTCCATCACTCTGTGTACTTAGAGAGACATGGGAGATATCTAGATGCCTTAGCAATTCTGATACAGCATCTGTCCAAATATGTTGACATTCATCCGAGTTGGCTGAAATCGTCGATGCATCTGTGGCAATTGACCCCGCCAGAAAACAATCCTCCCCTCCGGCTCCGCATCCGTACGGAGTAGTCTTTCCGTATACCGGCCGATCAGGACTGATAATCCTCCCCTGTGCTGCTGGGCAAGTTTGTCGAGAGCAACTCTAGTCATCGGTAGCCTAGCAGTGGTGCAAGAAATAGAAAGATATTTTCGGACTCTGGGTTCTCCTGCTTACTGTAGCCATAGTCTGCTTAGCTAATCAGTGCTAATCGGTCATGCGAGAGAAGCGTGTATCTGCGAGAAAGTCATTTAGTGTCGCGTTGTCGAATCCGGCAGCATGATTGGCGGTATTGGCCATTGCGGGCGTTATGCTTGAGATATCGCAGGGTCGGCGAAAGTTGAAACGAATGCGAATGCGGTCAGCGCAACTGCGTGTGGAAGTGCTCCAAGTCCATAGGCCAATCAAGGACAGAAAAATTCACGGACACGGGCGACAAGCCATCCGCAAGTCCTCGTCATCACAAGGCTATTCCAGTACACGGGCAATAATACGTGCTGGGGGGAATGATCCGTGTGATGGATGGTTGTCGTCGGCGCAGGACTCAGGTCGCGGATGCCGCGCAAACGCCACGACGGCGGCACCTTTGGATAATTCTGACGCATCATGTAGCCGGCAATGAGACTTGGATCAGACGGTGAACTGATCAACCGGTCAACTGGATGGCAGTTCACAAAGTCTCATGCAACCAGGACGCAAGTGGCCATGGATTCGACAGGCAGGCTTCTGTAGACTGACATTGACCAATCATGGCGGCAGCGAAGCGAAGTTCTAGCACTTGGCGTTCAAAGCCGGGCCCAACAGCCAGAGTCGGTTCAAGCGTCATGTCGAATACTGAACGATGTGGCTCAAACACGAACGACAAGGTGATTTTTGAAGACTGCAAGAGAGACTTTGAACGGAAGGAGCCATGGCAGCCGAGAAGGAGCACATAGACGGTATGGCAGGAACGCGGGAGAGAGTGCACCTGTCGCCGGAACCTGCCCGCTCCCAAAAAGGGAAGTCACGCTCCTCAAGCTTCACCAGAGTCACTACCAGCGCACTAATCAAGACATTGGGTCTAACCAGACATCTCTTCCCAAACTCTTCTGTACCATACGTAACAGTAATGCGCCTTTATTCAGCACATGCGAACGCCAAAGCCTCGCGTATTTGCCGCTGGCGAGCCGAGATTTCTCCGCAGTGCCATGCTGGCTGTGATCTTGATCTATCTATGCACCTATCTGCACAGGGACGCTAAGCCCCGCTCTGACTGTTCAACGCAGAACAGACCGGCACCTGGCATGATCCGCAACTTTCCAACCGTCACCACCTCGGGACGTCCCATTAGTTCTTCTACGGCCAGCCATGTGGACGTCTTCGACCTCGCGGGCGTTACCCATTCGAGAAAGTCATTCGACTTGATACCTGTCCAAATGCGAATGCGAGCAAGTTCCTGCACACAGAGCATGTGGTGGCCACAGCCGACGGCATGGGATGATAACCCCTTAACACAACCAGGCAAAAGCTTAGGTGCATTTTTGAGGCTTGACTGTGTCGGCTGTTGGTCCCAATCATGCCTCCATGCGCCCAGGTCTCACCCAAGTTTAGACACTTGCCCTGCCTAGAGCTTCATTCGAGCCAGACTGTGCCCTGACACCATCTTCTGACAACCTGGCGTGCGGAACTTGGGCCGCCATAACTTGTCATGACCTCTCCCGCAGCCGCCTTCAGCTCGCTTGTCGGCGACGCTATGTGGTGGCCGTGTGGGCCATCAAGCCAAAGCCATTCCTCTCCTTGCTGCTCCAGACCGGAAGGAGTGCGAACAGGACGATCCCGGTTGCCCCTAAACCTCCCCTACGGTGTCAGCTATAAACCATCAATCCTTTGGTGAGATTTGCGATGCCCAGGTTGCTTTCCCCAAACTTGTGGAAGTCTTCCCCGTTCAACCTGTATCCGATATATGACGGATCTTGGTCTGTGCTTGAAATACAGCTGGCGTCGAAATCTGTGCCCTCTTCGTTTGGGCATAAATCCCCGAGCGCTCGCCACTATCTTTCTTCATAAGATGCTTCCATGTCTATGATATGGCAGCTTGAGCAAACACACCAATAACAGCAAAATCTTACGAAAACTGTATCGCGATTATCTGTCACCGGAGCATATCCTTCTCGCTTACACCACACCAACGAGCGCCGCAATGAATGACCCTCGTGTCATCCATCGCACCGCAGCAGATGAAGAAGCAGATGCAAATGAAGCATTGCAGAACTTTGAGAATGAAAGATGGAGTTCGTGGCCAAACGAGGGAGCTGTAAGTTGGGCCCCTAGACATTAGGAAACCTTTTTGTATAGCGACCAGGCATCGTACTGACCGCTGCCAGTTTGACGCTCTTGATGAGCAGTATGACTCCGTTCATCTGAAAGTCAAAGGCTCTATACCCTCCTGGGCTGCTGGATCTTTATTTAGAACCGGGCCTGGACAATCCATGGTTGAAAATACCTCAAGAGGCACACACCATGTCTCTCATTGGTTTGATGGATTCGCGCACACCCACCGATTTGACATTTTGCCGCCCCATGCCGGAGACAATGCAACTTCCGTTGTGTACTCTTCTCGCGGACAATCTGAGGATTATATCACCATGGTGAAAAAACATGGTTGGCAGACAAGTGTGTCCTTTGGCCAAAGGAGTGACCCCTGTGTCGGAATTTTCGCCAAGTTTATGAGCATTTTTCTTCCCCAGAAAATTAACAACAACGTCGTCGTAGTAGCCAACATGCCTGGACTGGACAGCAATAAAGCGCGGCAGGTTGCTCATCAAACCGGACTAGACAACGTATATATTACCACAGATAACTCCACCTTGGAGAAGATTGACCCGAAGACATTGGAACCGCTCGAGTCCGCGACACAGCGGCAGTTGCACCCAAAGCTGAAAGGCCCGCTTTCTTGCGCACATGCCCAAAGGGACCCCGTCACTGGGGACTTGTTCAACTTCAACATCGATTTGGGTAGAAAAGCCACATATCGTATCTTTCGAATCAATGCAGAGTCGGGGACCACTGACATCCTGGCCACCATCTCAGAAAATGAGCTACCGGCCGCCTACATTCACAGCTTCTTTTTAACAGAGAACTTCGTTGTGCTCTGCGTCCCAACGTCGCATTTCGGTTGGAACGGCCTCAAAATTCTATGGGAACGCAACGTCATCGACGCTATTCAACCATTTGACAAATCAGTCAAATGCAAGTGGTTCGCCGTCGACAGGCGGCACGGCAGAGGTGTCGTCGCTAGGTTCTCCACCCCAGCTTCCTTTTTCTTTCATTCAGTCAATGCCTTTGAGCAAAAGTCAAAAGGCAACAATGGAGAGGAAATCACAAATATTTTCCTTGACATGGTTGAATACGTGAATACAGATGTTATGCACATGTTGTATTATGACATCCTCATGAATCGAAATCAAGACGCGATGCAGGACCTGGAAAAACATGAGAAATATAAGACGTCGCAGCCAAAGCTTGTTAGGTACAAGCTCCCACTACCGGCCTTCTCACAGACGCATGTAGGCGAATACTCCCTCGCCGCCGAACAAGTCTTCGCCATTCCCAGCCCGCACGCTGGGGAGCTACCAATTATCAATGCTTCCCGAGCCGGGAAGGCACATAGATATGTCTACGGCACCTGCAATCGCGGTGTGGGGTTCTGGATGGATGGAATTGTTAAGACCGACGTCGAGACGCGCGACGCCCTAATTTGGAGCGGCCCAGTTGGACATACACCCGGCGAACCCGTTTTTGTACCAGGACCAGGTGGTACCGACGAGGATGACGGTGTGATTCTCACCATCGTTCTGGACGGTAGTGCGCAGACATCGTATCTGCTGTGTTTGGATGCCAAAACGCTACAGGAGCTGGGTAGAGCCGAGACCGACTTCCCAATTCCAATTGGCCTGCATGGTATACATACCCCTTTGGACAAACAACCCGTGCCGCCATAATATGGGAGGGGGAGCCTTTTAGTATGTCTTGTTGCTCACCAAAGGGCTTTTCTCCTGATTGAAAATGTCGAGGTTCACTTATGCGAGTTGAGAAATTTTGCAGATACCAATCGTTTGGACGCAAGTAGTGTAATACAACCTGATGGAGTTGAAAGGTCCTCCAGCCGAAGTGACAGCGCTATCCTTATGTTACTGGCCTCCAAATGCTCAAACACCACACCATGCGATACACTTTGTCTGTGTTGTTCTATGCTAAGCTGAGCTCTCGATATTTCAATACATCGGTTGTAAGACTGCCTTGAAGCAAAGACCACGTTAACCGATCTCTACTTCCTCAAAAAGTTATTTACCTGGTAGTTTAGGCGTCCAAAAGTAAACCAGATGGTGCAGATAAAAAAAGCAACGACTACCAAGACGGCGGGCACGTAATTCATCTTCTCTGCTTCGGCAGGATTTTGATACGGGAAGCAATAGAACACGATGGCCAGCACCGTCCAGCCCAACATGATCAAGTTAGCCATCAGGCCCAGCCTAGGGTACCAGAATGACCCATGTCTGAAACACGACTGGAACGCTGTAGCTAATGTACTGCAGGAGCAGTCCTGTCGAGATGAGAGAATTAAAGGCAAGTTCTGACGCGAGGTATAGGCGCCCAAACGCCGCGGAAAATACGGCCTACCAGACAAGAGACCATACTGGCGTGGAAAACGGTGCAGGTGCAATTCTTCCCAAATAGCGATGAAGCGGGAATCCTCTTTCTCGACTGATGGTCCATGATAGACGCGACTGCCATACCTGAGTAGACCACAAGGCTCCCACTAGGGCTACCAGAATCGGGATCCAGATCCCAACAGCGACGGCTTTGCTACTGAAACAGAATCAGGGCAGAGTTATCCTCGTCGGCGTTAACGACCGGTATATTTACAAGTACGGACGTAATAACCAGGATACCAGATATAAACCCCACGACGACGCTCCACATCAACGCTCTTGGAATGTTCGTGCTTGGTGAAGGAATCTCCTCGGCAAGATGTGTAACTACGTCAAGACAGCAAAGACTCCAATTGATCCCGCTTAGACTGGTCAAAAAAGGCATTTCCATCTTGCCATCCGCTTGTATTGGATATGGTTGTGAAGAAGGTCTCCGGGCTTGCGTGTTGGCGCGACGCGGCAAACAGCGTGACAAATACCACGGCAGCTGATGCAACGCTGACGAATAGGACCGCTCTGGAAATTTGCGGCAACGCTTGTTCAAAGACTGAGCAAAGCATTGTAACCAGGTTCAGAATTTGGAAAGTGACGAAGCCCATCCAACGACGGTAGACAAAATCCGGATTCAGGAAGCTGATGACGCCAAAGATACTCACTGACGCCGACAGACACGCGGACGCACCGGAGGCGACAGCGCCCAACCAACTGATCATGGCTGTATAGTAGGAGAGCCCGCGGCGTATGCTTGGCGGCGCGAGCTGATTTACCCATATATATTGGCCCCCGGGATGTGGCATCGCTGAGGCCAACTCGGCAAGAGAGGAAGCCGTGGCCCATGCAACGACAATCAAGAGCATAAACCCCGAGAAGAAGAGTGGTGAACCGCCCATGGGGATAGTGCTGCCTAGAACAAGGAGCAGCCCAACCGCCGTGTTGGTTGCCCCATAGCCCGTTCCTATGGCAGAGTGTCGTAAAAGCCTTTTGTGTTTGGAAAGATGTGCCGTTGTCAACGATTGAGGGCTGGCTACCGTCCTGGTGCGCGTTGCTGCTGGTGATAGAACTCATGTAGTTCTCACTTGGGGCGTGCATTTTGATTCAGTAAGAAACACGGAGTACTTGAGTAGTGATGCGAAGACTGAATGTAGGTCAGAACCCGAGCAGACATATTTGCACTACGCAGGGCGAACTGATAAAAGAACGGAGACGTTTTCTTGTGAGAGCGGTTTTGCAGGGCTAGCCTTGCACATACAGTCAGATTGAGAAACACGGGAGCCATAACGATCGTAGGCTATTGGAATATGCGGTTGAAGCTTCATCAAGTGTAACTGTGTTGCATCTTTGCGTGGGTTCAGATCTCGCGGATGCCAATCGGTTGCCCGTGGAGGTTCCAGACAAGAAGTATTGAGGAGGAATCCCTGCGGGTCAATTCTTGGCGAGATGAATCCTCTTTCGTGTCTTACTCCTCTCTCACCGGTAGATAAGATTCTCAGGTTGCGGTTTCCCGGAAAGACTATGGAGTGTGCCACTTGATGTTCTTGTGCTTCATGGTATGTAAGTGGTAGTTTTGGCTACGATATCAGATACTGCGTGGGTCCCCTGGTCTCACATGCAGCATCAACTGATATCGATGAGCCCAGTAGCAAAGAAGCATGGCTATCAATATATCTCCTGGCGACGGCACGTTCAAGAAGGTGAGATGGTCTCACAAGGCGGCAGCACGCACCAAGATCATGAACGGTACCAAATTTGGGGGACACTACACACATGTACTTGTCTGCGGACTGAGTAACAATGCAACTCACCATCCGTCTTGCTCCACACACTTGTTATATAGCAAAGTCGACATCTTAGCTGTACAACTTGCGAGAGGACAATGAGTTCTCAGCTGACGGCCTGTCCGCGCTGATATTGCAAATCCTCGTGCCAATAGGTATTATACTGATGTTGACAAAAGTGCTGGTTCGATGGCGCTAGAGAATTTATATCTATAACAGGCGACGGAGTCTTGAGAAAGCGCTACTTGGCAGCTATTTTGGGTTTCCTATCTCGAGCGAGGATGCTCAGTTCCATGGAAGCGAAGACGAGTTGTCGCGTATATTGAGAAAGATTTCTACAACCAACGACTCAGACAGCAAGGCTTCATGTGCCACCTAGTCCATCACTTGGAGCGGTGTGCTTGTCGAGCAGGTTCCTGATATGTACTGGTCTCCTTTGGGCTTCATATTTCCTGCAAACGTATGCGCAAAACATTGTGCGGATGCTCCGCGTCTCTGACGGGACAAAGTGGACTTGTGCCGCCGTTGCCAGAGAACGATAAGGATCGAACCATCGGCTTTTACAAGTGGCGCTCGGTCGGTGTTGTGGCACAATACATTATAAAGGGCCATAAAGAGCCGGCGTCAACGGCGGCGTGGGTCATGAACGAAATAGCCTAATGGCTTTATCTTCAGGACTAGCGGTTATGATGAACCACTAAGTAGTTGCCACAACCTCGATACTCCATAGTCTCTGGTTACCTCCGCACTCTCGGCTCCAGTTTCGCGGGGAATGGGGAAGCCCTTGTAACTACATCCGCTGTCGTACTCTACGAGTTTCCACAAACTACCGCATGTGGTTTTGGGTCGACATCTAGACGCAGGCTGCAGAGACGGGGGTCGTGGGCCAGATAGGCCGCATTTAGCGATAACACGACCGTTGTGGCCTGTGAGACTGGCTATCAAACAAGCGACTATAAGAGGTCGCCGGGTCTCAGCGCATGACAATCTGAAAAACCGACCGTTCCATTCAACGGATTGCCAGACTGCGCCGTTCCACGCGATGGAGGGTTCTAGTGACTCGTCCGGGAAACCAGCTCGCGCCATGCATGTCAAAGCCACCCACGAGCCAGAAGCCGCTGTGTCATCTGCAGCAGAGGACGAGTTTATCAATGCGTCTGGACACGTCCAAGAGCTCCGCCGAAACTTCAGCCTCTTCTCGTTGGCTGGGATCGGCCTGGTTGTGGGCAATGTATGGCCGGCCATCGGTGGTTCTATCCTGGTGGCCATCTTCAACGGCGGACCACCGGGGGTTCTCTACGAATTCATCGCCGTCTCCATCTGCTATTGGAACGTGGCCGCCAGCATCGCCGAGCTCGCCAGCTCCATGCCGTCGTCGGCCGGCGTGTACGACTGGGCCTCGGTGACGCCTGGGAAACGCTGGGGCAGGCCGGTCGGCTTCTTTGCCGGGTGGTGGAATTACTTCGCCTGGCTGCTGGGCTCGGCGAGCATGACGTCCATCTTTGGCAATACCATTGTGCAAATGTACGCCGTCATGCATCCCGGGTTTGTGGCCAAGCAATGGCATGTATTTGTCGCCTACGTCCTCTTCACTTGGGTTGCGTGTCTCTCCGTCATCTTTGGCAACCGCCTGATGCCAGGGCTGAACCGAGCCGGCGCCTTTTGCATAGTCGCCTTCTTCCTGATAACCGTCGTCGTCGTCACAGCCATGCCCGGGCTGGAGGGCCATCCCGGCCACGCCTCGTCGGCGTTTGTGTGGACAGAGTGGACGGCAGACATTGGGTATCCCGACGGATTTGTCTTCCTGGCGGGCATGCTGAACGGGGCATACAGCGTCGGGCCGGTCGACGCTGTGACGCACCTGGCCGAGGAGATTCCGAATCCAGAGAGGAACGTGCCGCTTGCCATTGCCATGCAGGTGTCGATTGGATTCGTGACCGGGTTTGCGTACCTGGTGGCGGTCCTGTACGCTATCAACGACTACGACAGGCTATTCCAGTCGCAGTATCCCATTGCTGAGATATACCGACAGGCCACCGGCTCCAACGCGGGCGCGTGTGCGCTGCTGTCCATGATCCTCATCACGATATCGTTCACCGTGCTGGGACTGCACATTACATGCGGCCGGACTCTCTGGGCACTTGCCCGCGACGGAGCCACGCCCATGCAGGACAAGCTCATGCAAATTAGCCCGAGGCAGCATATACCCGTCTACACGACCATTGTCTCTGCCGTCCTGACAACCCTTCTTGGCGCCATCTACGTTGGGAGCACAACTGCCTTCAACGCCTTTGTCAGCGGCTTCATCCTGCTCTCCAGCAGCTCGTTTGTTGCTTGTATTTTGCCAAATATTCTGACTGGGAGGAAGAACATTCACTATGGGCCCTTTAGGCTCAGGGGAGTTCTCGGGTTCCTTGTGAATGGCGTTTCTTGTCTTTATTTGCTGGTCTGGGGCGTTATTTACACGTTTCCACCGACTCTGCCCACCAATGCGGAAACCATGAACTACTCGTCTCTGATTTGGGGAGGGCTTACCATTTTCGTGGCCGTTTTGTGGTTTCTTAAAGCGAGGAAGGGCTATCGTGGGCCGTTGCAGGACGATCTGTGAGGGGGGCAGGAGTGTGATAAGAATTAGTCTGGAGGTACTTGATGTTTTAATATGATGCCAGAATCACTATACAAAGGCACTGAGTGTGTTTGTAGACAATCCGTCGTGCCCTAGTCTTGAGCTAGCTACTCGGCTCGTTATGGTCTTGCCAACCCCGGACAGCTGCTAACCCATCATTCCACAGGTGTGCAGTAAATGTAAACGCAAAGACGTGAACTAGTATCAACTCAAAGCCAGTATTCTTATTCAAGCGTTTCGGTGAAACAAAGACGATGGAGCGGCTTCTAAAGCTTGATGACATACTTCGGTGTAGGCATTGCTCTTTTTCTGAATTACGGGTGGTTATGCGTATTCCAAAATGGTAAATTCGGAGTGTGTTGTCGGAGGCTATGGTTCATTCCTTGTATTGTTTACTTTTGGTTGTATTTGTGTGTAGAAGAAGGTTCAGTGTTCTTTTTTGTAGCGGTCTTTAGCTATCGATCTTTTCTAAACTCCAGAAACTCCAAGGCGAAAGAGTCTCGGATTAGAGTGGTGAAAGGTGTGCATGTCCGATCTTCGGGAGTGATGTTGGCTCAGTGGCTTGGTGTCAATGTAGCTTATGCAGGGCAACTGCCTAACGAGGAAATCGGGGTTCATATCAAGTCACCGGTGGGCCTGGGGCAAACAACAGTGACGGTGATCATAGGACGTTGGTCGGCTTTCCACTCGGACGAGTGCTTCGGATAAGCTAGATCAGACGTTGTGCCGCCGTTGGCGCCGTGCATGGCCTAGCTTATCACCGTTTACTCACTCAGACCATGGTCAGCTGTTAACGATAAACAGGTGTGAAAAGTGCAACGGCTTCAATGTAAGCTAGGAGGCTGCCCAGCCGGAGTAGCTATATCATGAAGAGGTAACTCAGCCAGACAAGGTCATGACGAATACTACTGTTACAGCCGTGATTCGTAATACTCACTAGATATATTGTAATATAGTGTAGTTGTCTAGCGAGGTTGTAACACCACCTTGTAAGAGTCGTAATGGTCGTGGTTAAGAGGTTACATTGAAGCCTAGAACCGAGGTTGGCTCTAAACTTGTTTTCTGATGATATCAGCGGATAAGTTCTAACTAATCTGGGGTAAACAGTACTCTTAGTGAGTTGCATGGAATTGTTAGCTTGTATTTGCACACCATGTATACCGGCTGCCGTACGATCACTTAAGTCACATGGCGATAGCGTCTTTCAGTTTGTCAAAAAAAAACATATACACGACTCTTGATCGGTATTAGTTCTAGACTCCAAATTATATCCATTAACATTGTCCACACCAGCTTATTACAATTTCAATCTACTGGCACTTAGCCTATTATAGTTGGCCCCAATATAGTCTTCTCCTGGCCCTGGAATATGCAATTCCTGTCTGGAGTACTTGCCCCTCCATGGTTTGTTGTTTGCCTCTTCAAAGAAGTAATGATGCAGTTCCGGCTCGTACGACACCCTCCAGGGCACGACAAGGTCTCTGCCTTCTGGGCCGCTTCCACAGCTCCCATGGATCTGGGCGCTAGGAGGACTGTTCAGAGCCAGGGTGAATAGCGTTTTCGGTTCGGTAAAGTCAGTGATGACACCGCCGTTCAGCAACATATACAGGAGACAGAATAAACTAAGCGCCGGTACAATGGACAGGATAATGTACCAGACTTGCTGCCATGTCTCAGTATGTCCTGCGGCATACTGTGTCGTTTGTTGCCTGACTTTAAATTCTTGAGTGGCAGCAGCATCAAGCATTTTGGTTGGATAATCCCAACCATGGTGGAATGGCGAGTCAATGGCGCTCATCACGACAGTCGAGGCGAGATACGCAGACAAAGCTTCGGCAATAGTCGGAAAATAAGAGTCAATCTTGGGCTCCTTCAGAACGAGTTGTGATAGGATTCGAGCGTTGGAGCCATTGTTTACACGAAGCCCGCCATTCACATCCATAGAAGTAGACCAATTTGCGGCCACATCCTAGGTAGGATTTCTTTTGTTAGCATTTGACAATAGTTAATAGTGTCGACACGGAATATACGGCTAATAACGTACGGTCCAACCCAATTCTGGTGTAGCGGGGCCCTTGGACGTTGGATAAATGCGGTTATAGGCAGTTTTGTCATCAGGGTCCTCGCATATTGCTTTCAAAGAAGCACCATGAGTACCGGAGATGAGAATTTGAGTCGAGCAAACATCTGACAGCCACGATCGTGCCTCGCAAAGAGTGTAATCTTCTATGTCCAGGCTTTTGATGAGAATGTAAACGCCTCCGGACCCTTTGACGGACATATTTGACACCATATTCATGGCTGGCGGAAACTATATTCATAATTGTCAGCGTGCTGGTGGTGTGTGCCACAACCATCATCACTTACCGTCGATAGTATGGGTGGCGTTCTCCCGTACTTTGGTCCCCATTTAAATATATCATCCACCACCGTTTTGTTTGGAACATTGCCCTTCTTTCCAACCTCACCCCAGGGGGGGTAGTCGGCTAACCAGCCATCCGCTGGCACGACGTAACCCTTCACTTTACTATGGTCCTTCCTGCTATTCGGCCACGACATGTAGACTAAAGGCGCGATTTCTTCCTTCTTCAAATTGACACACATGACGTTGACAGTGGGGGACACGACGCTGGCATTGATTGCCACCTCTCCGACAAAGCCGTCCTGTACGCGCGGCATATTATTTCTCGGCAGCTCGGCAGCGCTGAAAACGCCAGGGTGTGGCATTGCCATGGTGACATTGTCAATGATACGTCCATATTTGTGAAAGTTGGTCGTCACGTTGCGGTGCTCGGTCTCGATCCACGAGGTTTCCATAGTCTTATTCCCGTTCAGCAAGCTTGAAGGTGTCGGCCGCTGGGCAAGCGGCTGCGAGACTGCAAGCTTCTTAAAGTCTAACCAACGTTGCATAAAGCCCAGCAAATCGGTATACGATTGGCCGCAGAACTCTATACTCGTACAGCCCCAGCCATCCTTGCCATCAGGGTCATTTTTCCCGAAGAGAATGGGGCATTTGGTCATGCCGTATGGCATATTTCCGTACGACGTGTAAACTTCGCCTTTCAATGTTGTGGATTCGATGGGCATTTTCTTCAGCTTTGGAACAACCATGGTGTTAATTGCAGTCGTATAGAATAGCACCCCGAGCGTCGCGACAAAGGTCAAAAGCCCAAGCAGGGACCGTATCGAGAACCAGGTCGACTTGTACTGGAGCGCTATGGTGCCTGGCGAGTTGATCCAGTCCTTCATATTCATCTCGGAAAGCGTTACGCCCTTGGTCATGCGGGAAACAGATCGCCTACTCAATGCTTGGCCGAGACAAAATACAAACGCGGCGGCAAAGGTGATTTCGACCGTCTTTCCCACCAACGAAACGAACGACCCTGCCGTAGAAGCCTTCACGCCGCCGACCAGACCAATGGCAGACACAGGAGGTTGCCGAATAGATATGGCAAATAAGATGCTACCCATAACTAGGGAGTACACGGCGGTAACTATCATCAATAGGTCTTTGCTTTTTTTCCAAATGTCCGTTTTGGCCCTGCAGTATGTCGGGGGTGCGCCTATTAATGTGTTATAATTAAGCCAACTCAGCCTCATGAATATTTCTTAGCGACTCACCGAATCTCTTGTTGAATGTTTCAGTATCAGAATACTCCTGCCCAGGCTCAGCGTCTGTTGAAGGACTGTTATTCAAGATGCCCATGGGCGTATTCGGGGCCGGAGAATAAGAAAATGGCCTCGCATTCTCTCTCAGTGAGGCCTTCTCATCATTTCCATTCTTGGACATGAGTCTTTGGAATATGCTTGTCGATCTATTACCCGCCCAAGGAGACCCTCCTGGCGACCTCCCGCTCGAGCTTGCTGGAGAGTCGAGCAGGCCTCTGCCGGAATCGGGCGAGGCCACTTCAGAAGCAGACGTGACATCGGGGGACTTGTCTACGCCAGACACTCTGCGGACTCTGACAGCCCTGGCTTTTTGGTCTGGAAAAATACCCAGGCTGTTGATTGTGTCTTGCGGAGAATTCGCACCCTCCTGGATGGAGTCGTCATCTCCATTGTTGCCGAGATCCAAGTGTTCATACCCGCTGGTATTGAATACATTGGTTAACTGGGGTGGGCTGGGTAGCCGAATATGCGAGACACTGAATTCCTTCTCATCCTCTGGGGAATCTAAAGGCGGGCGGCTGTAAGCCATTGTTGCCGCGGCTTCACGGCAGCCCAATGTTCAGTTCGGGATGAGGCAAAGCGGACGAAATGGAAGTGATTGTTCGCTTTTACTCATCAAGCGTCAATGACTAAACAAAAGAATTGACGTTCTAACGCTCTGAGGACGGCAACGCCAACAAGACTGGCAAACGAAAACAGGGTGTTGAAACGCCAGGAAGAACACCGTGTATTATACTCGTCGCCTCCGCGGGTCGGGATTTCAGCCTCTTCTCACTGGGGTTGCTCCGTACAAGTGGTCAATATGCATGAGAGCCAACATCCTGGACAAAGATGAGAGGGAAGTTTGCCACTTGCAGAACAGACTGATCCAGAATAAAGCAGGCCGGAAGCAAAAAGAGTCCTAATCTTACCACGACGCCTGTGGCACAAAAGAGAGCCAGCTTCTGCTCGTGGCCAAACAAGGAGCAGCAAGCCTCCCAGCACACCGGCTCTCTGGCTCAATACAACGGCCGCCTTGCCGTGCTCTCTCCGAGACAACAACGGCTGCAAGTCGTGTACATTGAACTGCACGAAAAGCCTGCGGGTGGCCCAAAGGAAAACAAAATTCATGCATGTTTGGTCCGTCATCTCCACACAAGCCATCGAGCACTTGTTTGGCTTATCTTGTGAAACATGCATGAAAGACTTGAGATGTCGCAGCCTGTGGAGAAGAGAGGAAAATCGGCGTCTCTCTCATCTCGTGCATCACAACCTTAGGTCGAACAAGGCAGCGAACCAAGGCGATTCCGACTTTTCTGCCCAACCGTACTTGAAGGAAACCAACCACGTGGGCAGCGCCAGCCAGAAAAGACTTATTTTTGGAAATCGTACGGAGCCATTCCAAGACAAAGTCTTGAAACTTCTGTGCCCGAGAAGACTCATCATCTTCAGCTTCTGCAAGTTGCCCGCAATCCCACACATTTCTGATGATCAGCTTCCAGAAACCGCTGAACAATGGCAAGTCACTGTCTCACCTATTTCCCTGAGGCCCTTTCAACCGGGAAAAAAGAGGAGAGCAGTGATTGGATACCGCGTTTCTAAATAAAGTGTTGGTCGCCGGGACTTGTCCGCCCGCCCGCAGCCAAGTTTGCTACGCGGGCCACGCCGTAGACAGCCGGGGCAAGCGGACGCTGCATGACGTGATGAATGGCTACATTGCAGCCCAGGGGTGACGGCTGTTGTCGCTGCTGCGTGGCAATTGTGCTGTACTACTCCGTTATCAGGTCCTCCTGGTGGGAATTGTGCGAGACCGCTGCCCGACGTCTGAATTCGTACACGCTGCAGCGTCACTTCTAGATAAACAGCATCTGGTACTTTCTCCAGCCTCGTTAACTTTACATCCTTTGCGAGAATCGTGCCCAAATGTGCACCATCAGAGCACCCTCATTTTGGTGAGCAACCACGCTGACTCCCGAGATGGCTTACACATGGCGCTGGTAATCTAATAAACCTTGTCAATGGAATACATCCTCTGGCTGTAGCATGCTCCAATACGGCATGTCGCTTCCACAGAAATGCATGCTCAGCATCCATAGACATCATTCAGTCACCAAACCAATCAAGAGGCCGTCATCAGCCGCACAACAGATACAACTCGGCATAGCTCAAGTCCTTGAATGTACTAATGGAGCAGAGAGCACGGCTGACCGTAGCTAATGCCCTGACACGCAGGTGTTGCCAGCCCTGCTTGTACAAAACCCAGGTTGTTCCAAACCCGGGGTAAGCACGGAGAAAAAAACGTGTCGACAAACGGGCTTGTCCTCGGGGGCCTGGCAGAGCCTCAACCTTTCGGTTCCAACCGACCCAGAACCAGAACTCGACCCATTGCGGTTGTAACGCTGTACTCGAAGTACGTAGTACTTATGGTTATGCCGTGCCATGTTACTCAACGCGCTTTTGACAGGTCATCTGTAGCTGAGTTCCAATGCGACCACTGTTACACCCGGCGTTTGCCTGGCACTCTCCCATGAGTCTTGTGTAGTTATCCGACTAGCCTCTGCCTTTTCTTATCAGAAGGCCATTCGGGAGCGTGAGCAAGCTCAAATACCCTCTTGATAACACGGGATCAACTGCTCGCCGACCGTGAACAAGTGATACCGCTGAGGAAGCTATTGTGGCTGGGGATTCTTCAAGCGGGTGATGATGCCTCCAACAAATTTGAAAAGCAGCCAAGCAAATATACGTCATCAACGGCAAAGAATGTGTGTCCACGGCTGATACCTCGCCTACACAGAGATGGCCACAAGACGCATACAACTTCCATCTTTGGCAGCCCAACACGCAACTATGGAACCTCACACGATGAAGACGGGGATAATTTTAGGAACAGCTCACCAAACTCGGACATGTTTGCGCTCCCCGATCCCATCATCAACCATATTGTAATCCACCCTGCCGCCACAAATCATCTCAGCCTCCACCCATCTTGGATAACTTCTGGGTTTCTGATCCTCAGTCTTCTCTGTCAGCGTTGCATCCCTCGAAGTTTCTTTTGATCCGGCTTTTCTGTCAACGCCGCGTGGCCTTCACCACTGACCCGTCACCCTCATATACGCCAACCGTCTGGTCGCCGGCATCTGGAATGGGACAAACAGCCCGTGACGTGACGACGTTCATGTCCATCTTCCACCCATCGAGTGCTTCATGATGCATACAAAGATCAGCAATTTTTCGAGTTAAGCCTGTATCCCTTCTCGTTGCTAAATCTTGTTCTTCCTGATTTTTTCTTTTGCCACGCTTCGGGCCATCAGCCTTGCCACCCCGGTCGTTCTAAGGCTTGGTATCCTCATCTTATCGAAAGCACAAAGTCCGCATCCCTGGAAATCATAGTGTCGATTTTTTCCTCTTCAGCCCAGCCTTAATCTCCTCTCCGCCAGCATCAGCACCAGCAGCCCCCAAACAGCCTCTCCCCCTTTTTCGACCTCCGTGACCCTCCTTGGCAAACGGACCACGTGAGCCTGGTTTCAAGGTTGCCAATAAAGGAACTTTGAACAGAATGTGTCAGTTCATGACCTTGGTGAGGGCACTAAGCATCCCTCGTCCAGAGCTGAGCAGTCGTTCAGCCCCCTGGAAATAGGCGCCTGCGCTCAATGAGTGGAAATATGCGTAAGTTCATCCATTACATTCCACCTGGTGGTGGCCCAGCTACTCGTGCCCGCCCCACATATTAAAGGTGGTGAGTGAAGCCTTTAATATGTGGGGCGGGCACGAGTAGTATCCCAGCTTTCCAGTACACTCTGCATTCCGTTCCTTGGATCCGTCACCTCGCCCGTCGTTAATGTCGCTCCGAATCATGGGTAAACACTTCCCCTGTGCGCTTCTCCAGCCTTCACCACGTCTCTTGGGTGTAAGTAATCAAATAGGGAAAAAATACGTACATCAAAGGGTATGTTGCAAATATCCGCCCCATGTTCCCTATCATGAGGGAGTGTACAGTTGGCGTTCCCCCCCCTTTTTTTTCCCCTGAAAGCTCTCTGTGAAGGTCGAAAGGGGACTGGAATTTACTCAGGGGACTAAAATCTGCGCAGAGGAGGCCGATAATTGTTCATTGTGTTGCAAACATCTGCCCCCTTTCCCCCCCATGAGAAGTCGGGGGGCCTGACATTTGCTAAACAGGGGACCGACATCTTCTTAGAGGGGTCTGACATCTTCTCAGAGCGGACTGACATTTACTCTGAAAAGCCCGACATATACTTCAAGGGGGCTGACATCTTCCCAGAAGGGGTTGGCATCTGCTTAAAGAGGAACCGACATCTGCGCAGAGCGGGCCAACATCTGCCCCCCTCCCGAGCAAAGTAACTACCAGTTAGGGTTAGGGTTGTAATTAATCACAGTGGGCCAATATTTCCTCAGAGGCCACCGATATTGCCTCGCTACACAACGACCTTGCATTGTGCGGCAGATGTTTGCAACACACAGACTCTTCATCTTGCAGCACACCCTTCATCAACATCCACAATCCCATGCCCAGAGTACGGTCCTTCTCACACCCCGTGTATCCCAGGCATGCAACCGGAAAACCTTCCTTTGCCCATTAAGCCCCTTTTAAAAGATCCCCCGTTGATACTCCCAAAAATCTACAGCCACACCTAAATAATCTCTTCCCTCCCCGGCAATGATGCCGCATACTTACTCCATGTACATACCTCGGTACTTTGGCGCACCCTCTCAAGCACAAACAACAGATAAAGCCCAGTCACCACTCGACACGGACGGAAGTGCCATCAACCCCGTATCTTCAGGCATACTAAGCATCAAGTATTGAATAATTACCAGGCCAAGCGAATGAGCCATTGTTCGTAGCGCCCGCGTCAAAGTCAAATACCGTAGAGGCTTCGGCTAAACTCTAATACAATCAGACGGGACGGCACGCCATACGTAATGCGGGAAAGCAACATTTGAACTTAACTGTCAACGCAAGGAGCTGTCCTATCCTACTGATATGTCGGCCTCACTACCAGTCTTGGCCCGTGCTACAACTCGTAGCGGCCCGCCTTGTCCGCGGCTCATTTCGGTTCATCGTGTAAGGGCCTTGTTACAAACGCATTCAACCATCGTTGTACTCTTCACCTTATTACCGTTGCATCAGTCAGCTCCACAAGCACTCCTCCTTCAGGACACATCATCTGCTTCGTACCTCATCGCTGCGCATTATATGCCCACGTGCCAGCTTGCAAGCACCGTCTCATTCACAAACAATCGAGACGTGATACGGGAATAAGCTTAATCATTGGTTCTCGCGCTATTGCACTCAATTGCCCAATCCATCATCCGCTTCTGTCTGTCCATTTTACCACAAAATTCCTCACTCTTTGACCATCAACTCTTGTTCCCAGTCATCGCTGTTTTCCACCGCATACAGCGGTTCCCTAAACATATCAAGGGAAACCCGAGCACACCGTCCATTTCTTTTTTCCTTTGACTTGTTGCACCTGATTTCTTCGGCTCCCTCTATCGAATCTAGCGCGCGTCACCGTCGTCATCAAATAC